AACTTAAATCACCTCCAAAACCAAGTGTTTTAAAACATTTATTATTTATTTCTCTTGGTTTCTGAGGTTTTTGGGAAGGGTCTGGCTGGCTGGCTAGCATTCTACACTACTAAAGCTCACTCTGTAGCCCAGGCTGGCCTCACACTCAGAGATCCACCTGCCTCTGCCTCCTGAGTGCTGGGATTAAAGGTGTGCATACCACTTCCCAGCTCAACTCAGATTTTATATGTGGCCTTAGTTAAACACTCAGCTTCTTTCTTCTGCTTGTGGATTTCTCAACATTAGTAACTGAATGATTGTCATTCCCTCATTTAATAGTCGTATGAGAGTTTATTTCACTTTTTATTCCATTAGTGTGCATGCGTGCTTTACGCCAGCACCTCATGGTTTGGCCATTGCAGTTCTGTACTAAGTTTGAATTAGAAAGTATGAATCTCCAACTTTGCTCCTTTCACAAATTTTTATGCTTAATTTTTTAAAGTAAAGTTTTATCGGAACACTTTCCCTCATTTGTTTATGTGTGGGTTTTGAGGTTTTTTGGGGGTGAGGGGGATGCAGTGATAAAGTATCTGTGATAGAGACCTTCTTGCCTGTAGAATCTAAAATATTTATTGTCTGATTGACTACTGAAAATATCTGCAGATCCATGACCATTAAATAAAGCATTGCTTATTACTTCAGTGGTAATGGGTTATGGTAAAAATAAATAGGTGGAAAAGGGAAAATATACAAAGACACTTACACTACTTACTGCAAGTGAAAAATTAGAACATACCAGCAGCAGGAAGTGGCATTCTGTGATTTGCTTATAGTGTGCCATGTAGATGATAACTGTGTACTCTCTGTCAATGAGGTATTTATATGTGGCCAGTGAGATGACTCAGTGGATGAGTGTGTTTAATGTCAAGCTTGACAATCAAGTTTGATTCTCAGAACCCATGTGTTGGAAGGAGAGTGCCAACTCCCACAGGTTGTCCTCTGACCTCCACTCATATATACACACAATAAAATTAAAAAAAAATATTCCCGGGCAGTGTGGCTCACACCTTTAGTCCCAGCACTCAGGAGGCAGAGGCAGGTGGATCTCTGACTTCAAGGCCAGCCTGATCTACAGAGTGAGTTCCAGGACAGCCAGGGTTGTCTTGAAAAACCAAAACAAAAAAGGATATATTTACATGCATCAGGAAGCTAATCCAACAACAAAAAAGTATATACTCATTAATTACTATATAAAATATGCAAGTGCATTAACATGTGGGGAGATTGACATAAGTTATTTAGAGTTTAGTGCTCACTTAATTTCATTTTCTCTTGACTTAAAAAAAAATAACACCTGCTTATAGGTAGGCAACAGAGCACTTGCCTAGCATGCCTAAGATCATAGGCTCAACTCCTGGCACTGCAAAAGTTAAATAAAATAGATAAAATTTAAAAATAAATTATTTTTATGTTATGGAATTTGGAAAGATAGACAGTAAACATAGTGATAAGAACTCTGTTTCCAGCTCTCTGAGTAGTCAACCACTCTGGCATTTATCCTCAAACCTTCCATCCTTAACATTACACCCTGTCCCCCTTTGAGAAGGGCTAGCTATATTCCTCTGGCTGGTTTGGAATTCACCATGTAGACCAAATTGGCCTCAGATTTGGTAGTGTGCAAGTTTCCTGCTCCTCCCTTCTACCACTATTGGGATTACAGGCATGAACCACTATTCCTAGGTTTCAAATCTTTTTTTTTTTTTTTTTTTAATTGTAACTCCTGGGGCTGGGGAGATACCTCAGTAGCCGGGAGTATTAACTCTCTGGCAGAGGGCCTGCGTTTTGTTCCCAGCACCCACATCAGGTGGTTCACAACTGCCTGCAACTCCAGCTCTAGGGGAACTGACACTTAGCCTCTGCAGGTACCCACATGAATGTAGCATACCCTCATACAGATACACATACACATGGCTAAAAGTAAAATAAACTAAAAAATCGTAGTTCTTTATATTATGAAATATTGATATAATCCTCAATCATCTTTAAAATTATTTTAATGTTAATTTATTCATATTTCTACAAGGACTATATAGTTGATGTACCTTTTAATTATTGATTTTACCTCACTTTAATTATTTTTCCTCAAAGTTTATTTCTAGAGGAAAAGGATTTACTGGCTGTGTAGTTGTATATATTCTAGATTTCACTGATTATACTCATGTGTTCTTGTTTAATTTAGTTCCTTGTCTTTTGTAATTTTTGTAAACAATGAAATCTAAGTTGTGTGAGATTAGGGTGTAGAATTTTTGGTGCCCATAGCCTATAGATTGTGGTGTATGCATGGTTTTGTTGGTTTGTTTCTTGAGGAAGGATCTGTGTAGCCCAGGACATCTTCACTTTCTGTCATCTTGCCTTAGCCTTCTAAGTGCTGGGATTACATAGTAGCGTGTGCTCCCACACCAGACCCTGGTATTTGCATTTTATCATGGGCCATTAGCTAAGACTTAGAGGGCACTGACCTCTCTAGCGCGGACACAGAAGGGTGGGCCCTGGAAGTATATGCATTTATGCACTCACCAAATGAAATGTTTGTGTCCTGTTCTAAACCCCTCTCCCCTGCCCAAGCCATAGGTTTACCTATTAAATTTGTGATGGTGGTATTTATAATTCATTCCAAGAAGCTTATGCAAGTGTTCTTTGTTTATGTAACTTGTGATTGCTACTCATAGTGAAAGGGAAAGTTTAAGGGCAACCAGGGGAAGGACAAAGTTCAGGGGTATTTGTACCCAGGTTTGAACCTATGATCTTAGCCAGTGTGGTAATAGCCATTGACCTTTAAGCTATGCAGATACAATACTAATTACATGTTATATGACAGACTAAGGGTTCTTTACCTTCCTATTTGATTATAGGTCTCTCATGACTAATGTCTGATCATTTCAAGGTTGCTATTGTTACACTCAGCCCCCTGCCAGACAATAGTAATAGGCCTCATAACTTGAAATGAATGGATATTTGATGGTAAATTTATTTGTAATTCTGCAAGACTAGCAGTTTGTGCTTTCTTCTTCCCAGAACAGCCCATCCTGTGAAGAAGCATGACAGCTAGAACAAGGAAATAACTACAGTTGGCAAGTTCTCACTGCCCAGCAAGTAGATCAGTTTCAGCCCCTGGGCTTGACCTTGCAGACCTGCCCTCTGTGTGCTGACTCTGTCGTGTCTGCCTACTCTTTTAACCTTGCTTCCAACTCTTTCTCCAAGTAGTTACTCAACAAATTTGCTTGTGAAATAGAAACAAAACAGTAAGATTTGAAGAGCACCAAAGGTTATTATCCAGGCTTGGGGTATAGCTCAGCAAGAAAACAACAAGGCCATTGTGTACTAGCATGCCAGAGAACCAGCAAAAACACTAAGTTGAAGTGTCCCAGATAAGCTGCAAGTATAGTAAGCCAAGTTGTTTCCCTCTACCCACTAAGCCACCTCTGTAGGTGCTGTCTTGTCAATGGTTATCCCCCTCTTAGGGGATCTACTATCTAAGCAACTGTTTATCTAGTGGGTGAAGGGAGAGGTCGGATTGATGGCTCTCTCTTTTAGGAGATAAGAATTCAGGACTGTGGGACTGTCTGTGGGTTGGACAGATGTGAAAATGCTATGCATCTGTCTTTGAGAGGAAGGGCGCTGAAAGGGAAGTTCTTTTGTTTGCTTGTTTTTTCTGTTTTTGAGACTGTCTCTCTATGTAGCTCTTGCTGCCCTGGAATTCACAATGTAGACTAGGCTGGCTTTGAATTTAGAGATTTGCCTATCTCTGCCTCCTGAGTGGTGGGATTAAAGCTGTGCACCACTAGTTCTTTTAGTGGCAAACAGTTGCCTGGGTTTTCTCTTGGACTGTTTGAAATAGAAACTGGAGAGGACAGATGTGGAGAGCAGCTCGGTGTTCTACTTTGACTGCAGCCCTCCTCTGGGATAATTCTGTTTACTGTTACTAAGATGGTAAACTGGCACAGGGTTTGATCTGATATACAGTATCATGGGTCCAAAGACACAGCTCCAGGCATGAAGGGACATATATGACCTTTGATTCTAGCCTCCTTTACTGTTCTATATAGAACAACAGGGCAAACTGACACAGTTCCCCTGTGTAAACTCTTCCCCATTCTGTTTCATTACTTTCATTGGGAGGTCAAGAATCAGTCTGACAAAACCCTCACGTAAGAGTCTTTCAAAACAAACAAACAACCACAAAACTTATTTTAGGACTGGAGAGAACACTTGCTGTTCTTACATTGAACCTAGGGATTACATGCATGCACTACCACAACCAGCACTCTCTGAGTATTCTCAGGCCAGGCAAGCTCCTAACTCCTATTATATCACTAATTGGGTGTTGTTATTTGTAGTTGGAGTTTCTGTCCAGCCTGATCCCACCACCCTTCAACTCTGAATAAACACACTGAAGCTTATATTAATTACCAACTGTTTGACCAATGGCTCAGGCTTCTTAATGGCTAGCTCTCTCTTAATTATTAACCCATCTCTATTAAACTATGTATCTCCATGTAGTCTTGGCTTACTGGAGAATGCTCAGACCTGTTACTCCTTTGGTGTCTACATGGTGTCTCCCTGGTGGCTCACTCTATGCATCCTCTCTCCAGAATTCTCCGTGTCTGGTAGCCCCGCCTATACTTCCTGCCTGGCTACTGGCCAATCAGTGTCTTAGTCTTCAACCAATAAGAGAAACATATATACAGAAGGACATTCCCCATCAGTCATTTGTTAGTGCCTTTCTCTGGTTAGAATTAGGTCCAGATACACACAGTATCTAGTCCTCATATAGTTCTGAATATCACTGTGTTCATGTTATAGGTATATCTACAAATATTCAGAGAGATACTGTCATGGGTTATCGTCTAATAAGTTGCTGGGTTGAAATTTGAACTTGGGGATGTCTGGCATCAAAATTCATCCATTTTTCCTCCACCCCCACCCCCCAGTAAACCACTTCTTTCCTCCCTTTTTTCCAGACCCATCCCTGGAAGGCATGTGTGGCACTGAGCATGCCCAGCTGGGGGAAGATGGGCAGCGGCCGCCGCGGTGCACTTCAACTACCTCATCTCAGTCTGAGCCTTCAGAGCAGCTTAGGCACCAAGGCAAGACCCTAGCATCCGAAGACCCCAAAAAGAAGAGAGCTCAGAAGCCCTCCCATATGAGAAGAAACATACGGTGAGCTGTGTTCTGGGTAAGGAGAATTGGAGTAGACTAGAAATAGCAGAAAGAAGCACGTCCTCTTTCCAATAAAGAAGAGTATACAGCCATGAACCCTCATTAATAGTGAAGATGGCATATGTGGTGACACATGCCTGTAACACCAGCACTCAAAAGGCTGAGGCAAGAGAATCATGAGTTCCAGACCAGCATAGGTCACATAAGGAGATCCTGTCTCAAAACATCAACCACCACCACCACAAAAACCCAGTAGTGAAGGTGAAACTTAGACCTACTGTTGAGCTGCACAGAGTGTAGGGAAGATGTGTAGGGAGGGATTGAGAGAACTTAGGTGGCAACTCAATGATGTTGAGATCATCTGACTTAGACTTTTCTTACTTTGTTTCCTGTGTGTCAAACCATAAAGTTTAAAACAAATCAATAGACAGCAACAACATAAAATTCTCAACAGAACTGAGCCATCATCTTCCTAGAATTCAATTTCAGATGGTTAGACTCACCTCAGAGAAAACCAAACATGAACTCTCTTAACTATTCAAATCCTCAGCAACCTTTCTTTCTGCTAAGTAACAGTTTGTTTTACTAAAAGAGATAAATAACGTCATTTCCTGCTTTTGTTATAGTTTTTGTTCTTCATTTGTTTGTTTGAGACAGGTTTTAAACCAGTAACTCAGGCTGCCCTGGAACTCACTGTGTAGTCCTGGCTTTGAACTTTTGAGCCTGTCAAGTGCTGGGATTACAGGTGTGATCCACTATGCCAGGCATTGCCCCACAGTTTTTAAAACACATACTGGAAACTTGAAAGTATTACTGTAAACTCAGAAAATAATGCTACAGAATCCCTATTTTCCCATTTGTCCACCTAACATCTTTAAATTTGTTTGTGTGTGTGTTTATGTGTGCACCCATACCCATGTGTTTATGGCACCATGCATGCATGTGTAGAGGCCACGGCAGGACATCAAAGTATTTTCCTCTATTGCTTTCCATTGCCTTGAGACAAGGTTTTTCACTGAATTGGAAGCTCATTTTTGTCCGGAAGCTCCTGAGATTATCCTGTCACTACCCCCCAATAGTAGAATTATATGCATATTCAGCCATACCTGAGTTTTTTGTTTGTTTGTTTGTTTGTTTTTTCGAGACACGGTTTCTCTGTGGCTTTGGAGACTGTCCTGGAACTAGCTCTGTAGACCACAGAGCTCACAGAGATTCACCTGCCTCTGCCTCTTGAGTGCTGGGATTAAAGGCATGCGTCACCAACTCCTGGTTCATACCTGGTTTTTTAAATGAGTGCTGAGACTCTGAACCCAATTTTTTTGTTTGTTTGGTTTTGGTTTTTAGTTTTTGGGGTTTGTTTTTTTTTTTTTCCTTTTCTGTGTAATAGCTCTGACTGTCCTGAAACTCACTTTGTAGACCAGGCTGACTCCTCAATGCTAGGATTAAAGGCATGTGCCACCACTGACCAGCCTTTAACTCACCTAACTACTGGGCTGTCTCCTCTTTCCTCTAACAACAACACACACATACATACACCCCTCTATATAACCCTGGTGTGAGCCAGATTGGCACCTCGAAGAGATCTGCCTGCCTCTGCCTCCTGAGTAATGGAATTAAAGGCATGTGCCACCATCACTGGTACAACTTTATTTTTGATACTGGTTCAACTTTGTAAACCATATTCTTTTATATCACTCTTGGTCTTTTATTTTGTATTTATTTGTGTGTGTTCATGTGTGTATGAACCTGTGTTTGAGGGTGTGTATGGAGGGTAGAGGAGGATGTTAAGTGTCTTCCTCTGTCGCTCTCTACATTATACCCTTGAGACTGTGTCTCTCACTGAGCCTGAAGCTCAATGTTTTTCAAACAGCACAGGAGAAACACCCGGAGATTGTTGGTCAGCAAGCCCAGCAGTCCTGTCCCACCTTCTTGTTTGTTCTATGCCTTGTATACATATGGCCAAACCCAACTTTTTAGGTGGGTGCTTGTAATCCTAACTCGGGTCCTCATGTTTGCACAATAAGTGCTTTTGCCCGTTGAGACATCTCCCCAGTTCTTTACTCTTGGCCTTCTACTTGCAGAGTGTCTGTGAGGAAGTCAAATAACAAGTAATGTATGGTAACACAGAGCCGTTTGAACTTAAAGTCCCCCTGGTACCCCATCCTACCCCCCTCACCTTAAAAAAGCCTAACTTTATTCCTTGTATAAGTTGCAGTTCTCTGATTTGAAGGGAAAGCAGCACTGGTGATCTCCTTTTTTAGTTTGATATTACATTGTCCAAATCTCAAGGTAACCCAAGGGTTGTCTCTCTTTAATGTTTAGAAAGCTACTCCGGGAGGATCAATTGGAGCCTGTTACCAAAGCAGCACAGCAGGAGGAACTGGAAAGAAGAAAGCGCCTGGAGCAGCAGAGGAAAGAATATGCAGCCCCCATTCCTACTGTTCCTTTGGAGTTCCTGCCTGGTAAGCAGCATCATGTTAGAAATGACCATGAGTTCCAGAAGAAAGGGCCTCAGCTTGCAGAGTGACCAGACAGACCTGGATTATAGTCTCTCAGGAATTCTGAGGCCCTTTGCCGGAATGCACAATCAGAAGATCTGTCATTTACAAAGTGGAAATAGATTCAGGTGTGCTTGGTTTAATTTTATGGAGGGTTCCTGTTTACCCTATAGCTTTAGATTTTAGCATGTAAGAGATGAGGACTAGTTGTCACACGGATAGATAGCACAATGTGAAATCCAGCAGAGAAGGGAACTTGGAAAGAAGGCTGGGAGGTTTTTTTTAAAGCTCTCCTAGGGTATTCTCAATAGCCATTCCCCATTAGAGTAGCAAAGAACGACCATCACTGGTGATCACTCAGGAAAATAGATTTGAGCTGCATGTAGGGTTGTTTTACTGCGTGTGTGTGTGTGTGTGTGTGTGTGTGTGTGTGTGTGTGTGTGTGTGTGTGTGTATGTGTGTGTGGCGCATGTCTAGAGGCACATTTTGTGAATCATGGCACACAGAGGACAACTTAGAAAAATTGGTTCTCTCCCTCTATTGTGTGGATCCTAGTGATTACAAGTCTACAGGCTTGGAAGCAAGCACCTTTACCTGCTGAAACACCCCAGTGGCCCTAAATGTGTTTCCTTCCATTTTTTTTTTCTAGAGGAAATTGTCTTACGAGCAAGTGATGGTCCCCAACTCCCTCCTCGGGTCTTGGCCCAGGAAGTCATTTGTTTGGACAGTAGCAGTGGCAGTGAGGATGAAAAAAGCAGTAGAGATGGTAAGATAAGGCCAGAGGGGCACGACCAATGTTCTGTTCTCTCTCTGTGTCTGTCTCTCTGTCTCTGTCTCTCTCTCTCCCCTTCCCTCCCTCCCTCCCTTCTCCTGCCTCTCCTTCATTCCTTTCTTTCTCCCTCCCTTTCTTTCTTTCTTCCTCCCTGCCTCCTTCCTTCTTTTCTCCCTGCCTCCCTCCCTTTTTTTGGCAGCAGCGGGTGGGTGGGTGTGAGACCAGGTCTTAGACTGTAGCCTGGCCTGGAACTCATAGTAATCCTTCTGTCTCTCAGCCTTCTAAATGCTGGGATTAAGTGTACCACCATACCTAACTTGGCTATATTCTTGAAAAATTCACTCTTTATTCATTTGGTTTGGAGCCTACATTTAGCACACTTACTCCTTTAGTCCCAGCACTTGGGAGGCAGAGGCAGGCGGATCTCTGTGAGTTTGAGGCTAGCCTGGTCTACAGAGTGAGTTCCAGGACAGCTAGAACTGCAACACAGAGAAGCCCTGTCTCAAAAAACAAAAACAAACAAAAACCCCAAAACCAACCAAACAAAACATCTGATTTGCAAGTAGTAGCAAATTTTAGCTAAGTTTGTGCCCTTTTACTCTGGCAATCAGAAGTACCCTGCTCCTTGGATGTTTGTTTCATTTTTTTTCTGTCTCAGAGGTGATTGAACTGAGTTCTGGAGAAGAGGATACTCTGCACATTGTGGACAGCAGTGAGTCTGTCAGTGAGGAGGACGAGGAAGAGGAAAAGGGTGGCACCCATGTGAATGATGCCTTAAACCAGCATGATGCTCTTGGGCGGGTCCTTGTCAACCTGAATCACCCTCCAGAGGAGGAGAATGTCTTCCTGGCCCCACAGTTGGCACGGGCTGTGAAACCTCATCAGGTACAGCCAGTCTTGATCCTACTCTCTTTTCTTTGCTGCAAACATTGCATGTTGTTGGTTATTAGTATTATAGCCTGTGAAATACTTGGTGGTTTCTAAGAGTAGCTGTTGTAAAGCTCTGATCCATCTGATGTTTGAAGATTCCTTTGACTATGAATACATAGGGAGAGAAAAGAGCTATGCCTCAGGTTTGCCCTGTCATGTAGAAATCACTGCAGGGACTGGAGGAATGCATAGCTGTTAAGAGTACACACTGCTCTTGCAGAGGACTCTGGTTTGGTTTCCAACACTGGCATAGCAGTTCTGTAACTCCTGTTCCAATGCCTCTTGACATCTGTGTCCTATATGCACATACATGTACCCAGGTACACACACTTAAAATGGAATAAATACAAAAAGTCACTTGACCATTATCTTGCTTCTGTTGGCTCATCACAAAGCTTGGAAGGTATAGATTCAGAAGACTTATGAAAGTCAGCTATCAGGGAATTTTTGAAAGTTGAGAGCATAATGGTTTATATTTATCTAGTGCCTGGGACTAGTACCAGTGAGTGAACATTCACAGTCAGACATTGACTCAGTTTCGGGCTTCTCACAGCAACAACTATTGAGTTGCCTAGAGGAGGCACCTCCTCAAGCCCAGAGCAGCCAGGCTGAATGAAAGACCTTGTCAGGAGATTGACACTCATATGGGACATTATACAAGGTCATGCTATTTTGTGTATTCTCCAAGATGGCTGTTACCCGGCAGCGTGACAGAGAAACTTCTATAGACCAGTCAGGGTACAGGGAAACTTCCATGTTTACCATCATGCTTATTTAGTAACCATTCCTAAGTGAGGAAAACTGTATAGCCCTGGTCTCCAGTCGTGTTTCTGACATATATCTTGTTTGTCTCTTGTCAGATTGGTGGGATCCGGTTCCTATATGATAACCTAGTAGAGTCTTTAGAAAGGTTTAAGACCAGTAGTGGCTTTGGCTGTATCCTGGCCCATAGCATGGGTCTGGGGAAAACTCTGCAAGTGATCTCCTTCATTGATGTCCTCTTCCGCCACACACCAGCCAAAACAGTCCTTGCCATTGTGCCGGTAAGAGCTCTAACTCACTCCTCTGAATACCCCTGGCCACTAAAACGCTTGTTGAGTTCAGCTCTGAGCTTATTCCTTAAAACTTGTGTGTGTGTGTGTGTGTGTGTGTGTGTGTGTGTGTGTGTGTGTGTGTGTGTGTTTTGGGTGAGGGGACATCTTTGTTTAGTGGGTAAAAATGATGATAAACTTAATTCTGGGGATCTACATGGTGACAGGTTGTCCTCTGACCTCCACATGTACATACACAAAATAAATAAAAATGTTACCAAGAAAAGCCAACTCTTTTGGACTTGTTATAGGTTAATACTCTTCAGAATTGGCTGGCAGAGTTCAACATGTGGCTCCCACCTCCTGAAGCCCTCCCAGCTGACAGCAAGCCTGAAGAAGTACAGCCAAGGTTCTTCAAAGTTCATATCTTGAATGATGAACACAAGTAGGTGGCTTACCCTGTCCTCTCTGTCTTATTCCTCAGACTTCTCTGGGGCTCCTAAAATAGGTCTCTGTTTTCCCAATTCTTTTTGATCCTTCCTTACCTCCCCCCCACCCCAAACCCACACCTTTTCAGTAAAGTCAGAATTATATATCCTGGGAAGTTTGAAGTTTCTTTGTTGTGCTCTAGAATGTTTTTCTGACATAAAATAATCTGCAGCCTAGTCACATTTTCTGGTGTATATTGTAGTAATATTCAACATGACACATTGAACTTTAGACTCTTCTTTGAGCACTGGTACCTTAATAGTACAACGTCTAAACTTTGAAAAGTGCACACTTTGGTTTTGATTTTCAAAAATCTAATGCGATGTCTTGGTCCAAGACAGCTACTCACGCTTTCCTTTCAACTTAGACAGTTTAAGAAGGCAGACTTCCTTTCTACAAAGGCTGCTTTTTTGTGAGGGTTCTCCAAGTGACCCAACAGATGGTTGGTCACCTCCTCTGCGCTCTTGGATTTCCGAACTATTACACATCTAGTTAGTACAACACTGAGAGGGCTTGGGGATTTGAGTGGAGTTACTGCCAAGGGTTTTTGGTTCTCCATTACCTCTGTCCTTATACTTTTTTGGTTTTTTGTTTTGTTTTGTTTTTATTACCGGAGCCTGGTCAGGTGAAGTATGGAGTGTTGCTTTCTTCCCATGACTTAGGCTTACCATGGGAATTACTTGAAATGTTGTCTAGAATGTTGCCTTGTAATTGTAGGTATACATGCAGGGGCTTAGCATGTTCTTTTACCTTCTTCCATTGAATTACTGATTCTTGCTGTTTAGCCACCATCAACGAGGCAGGCCAGTATAAATGAGTATTTCTGGGATACCAAAAGAGTCCTTGAGTTGCTGATCCAGCTTGTGCTTGCTGCCACATGATATCTTTGATAATAAAGCATCCTAAATATAAGTCAGTGTAGCTTTGATTAAAGAGTTCTTCCTGAGTAGCCACAGAAGCAACAATGTATTCTTTACCATTTTTGAAAACTAAAAGCCATCTTTATTGAATAGTTCCTAGCTCATAGTTGTCTCTTCTTATTCCTACAGGACAGTGGCATCTCGTGCTAAAGTGACGGCTGATTGGGTTTCAGAGGGTGGAGTGCTGCTGATGGGGTATGAAATGTACAGACTGCTCACACTGAAGAAGTCCTTTGCCACAGGTAGACCGAAGAAAACCAAGAAACGCTCTCACCCCGTCATTATTGATCTGGATGAAGAAGATCGACAGCAGGAGTTCCGGAGAGGTGGGTGGCTTATCCTGGAGGCACTCCAAAAGTACCAGTTAGGTGTGAAGTACATTGTTAACATAAATCAGGAAGCTGGTGGGACCACCTCCCTGACCTTTCAGAATGTTCTGTGTTTTCTGCAAACCACACCTGAGCTCTGAGAACTCTCCTGTCTTTGTGTCTCTGTTTGACTCACAAGACAGTTGAGAAAGTAACCATTGCCTTTATCACTTTCATAGAGATATTATTAGAAAGTATTAAAGAAAACAAATGGTTTTATTTATTATAAGGGTGGGGCATGATGGTGTACATCTTTAAATCCCAGCACTTGAGAGGCAGAGGCAGGCAGATCTTTGTGATTTTGAGGCCATCCTTTCTACATAGTGAATTCCAGACCATCCAGGGCTACATAGAGAGAACCTGTCTCAAAAACAAAAAAAAAAAAAAAAAATCCTCTAAAGCTAATGTAAAGACAGAAGAGGAATAATATTTGTGAATTTATAAAAAGAAATAATCTCTGTTGCTGCTCGTAGTTCTATTCTACCTTTGAAATAATAATAGCAGCAGCAGTAGTAGTAATATTTGGGCTGTAGAGATGTTTCAGTGGTTAAGAGCACTTGTTGCTCTTCCAGAGGTTGTTCCTAGCACCCACATGGCGGTTCACACCCATCTTTAACTCCAGTTCCAAGGGATCAGATGCCCTCTTCCGATCTCTACAACCACCAAGTATGCACATAGTACACGGACAGACATACAAATGAATACGTTTAGTAAAATTAAAACCTAAGGGGAATTTCATACAATGTATTTTGATCATATTCACCCTGCTTCAACTCCTCCTAGACCTGCCCTCTCCACTCTCACCTCCCTACCCATCCAACTTTTGAGTTTTCTATCCCAACAACTCAAATTCAGTTTATGTTGCCCTTGGGAGTAGGAGTGGCCAACCCTCTTGGGGTGATTTGACTCTGCCTCTCCCAGAAGCTACTGAATCACAATAGCTCCTCAGCCAGTGCTGGGATTCCTGTCCACCTTTCCTCCTCTGTGCTGGGATTTTTGCATGGCTTGCACTTGCTCGGATTTTGTGCATGCATGCTGCCGTGATAACTGAGAGTTCCCGTGTCCAGCAGCCCTGTTGTGTCGAGAAAACACCACCTCTACCTCTTACAATCTTTCTACCCTGTCTTCCACAAAGATCCCTGGTATGTGCGTGTGTGCATGCATGTGATATGTACATCTTCTTTATAGATGGGCACACTACAGTTTCTTATTCTCTGCATGCTGTCCCATTGTGGGTCTCTGTATTAATTGCCCTCTCAAAGGAGAAACTTCTCTGCTGAGGATGAGAGATGTACTGAACTATTTTTAAAGGAGCCTTTGTCCATTGAGAAAAAGGTTTCTTTCTGTGAGATTACAGCTGTTCTAGGTTTGCTTCTGTGGTAGCGGGGTGAATATGCCATTTAGCAGTCACTGGTGACTAATTCTTGTCCTTAAAGCTCCTATCGTTCAGCCTTCAGAAGAACCTAAAATGCTGGATGGCAAGAGCCCACTGTGGTGTCTGAGTTATTCCCATGGATTCATATTTTCAGACATATTTTTAAGGCTAGGCTTATAATTTGTGGTGACCCCCTCTCTGTTCTCCTGAGAGACTTAAGTCCTAGGATTGTAAGTAATTTTTACTTTTGACTTGAAAAAGAAAAATTTAAAGTGGATAAGTAAAATGAGGGAAAGAATAGGGATAAGAAGATATAAATGCAAGAGTCGGTGCCAGGTAGAGCTTGTCTGGCTGGTTCCCTTTTATCATTGGGGGCTGACTCTTGCTTCCCTGCTTCCTTCATTTCTTCTGTCTCTTCCAGGGTTCTCCCCTACTTGTCATAGTATTGACTAAGAGCAGGCCCTCTCACCCTCTGACTGCGGATCCTCTTCCCTCCTCAGAGTTTGAGAAGGCCTTATGCCGCCCTGGTCCCGATGTGGTGATCTGTGATGAGGGACACCGCATCAAAAATTGCCAAGCCAGCACCTCACAGGCTCTGAAGAACATACGTTCTCGTCGGCGGGTAGTGCTGACTGGGTACCCTCTACAGAACAACCTCATTGAGTACTGGTGCATGGTGGACTTTGTGCGCCCAGATTTCCTTGGAACTCGTCAGGAGTTCAGCAACATGTTTGAACGCCCTATCCTGAATGGGCAGTGTATTGACAGCACACCTCAGGATGTCCGCCTCATGCGCTACCGGAGCCATGTTTTGCACAGCCTCCTGGAGGGCTTTGTGCAGAGGTGAGGCCTTGTTTTCTGAATCCTTAGAGGGATATAAGTCATGCCAAAGCTATTCTGAAGGGAAAATGGCATCATTGGAGGGCTTTTCCTAGTGGAACAGCATAAACCTGAATAACTAGCAGGTGATGGGTACACTGTTTTTGTTCTCTGAAAGTTTGGCCTATAAGCACTTCATTCAAAAGTTGTCTTTGTTGAATGTGGTGGTACATGTCTCCTAGCAGTCAGGAGCATGAGGTAGCTGAGTCTGAGGCCAGCATGGGCTACATAGCAAGCTCAAGCCAGTGTTATCCAAAGTTGCTTAAAAAAAAAATACCTGTTCTAACTTGTTTAAAAAAAATACGATTGAGCCAGCATTCTGCTGACCTTGTTAAAAGATTAAATATGATTCTAGGATATTGCTTTGCCAGATCCCAGTTGATGTACTGTAGGCTAGCCTAAAACAGGTCATTTCCTCCTGGTAGGATGACAGTTGTGGAAAAGGATCAGAGCGGCATCCCTGCACTGGGTCATGAACCTAGAGTTCCTCTGGCCTTAGTTACCCAGTCAGTCATGACTTGGGCCAGGTTACTTTGTCTGAACCACCCTGCTCTAACACAAGGATGCATTGCATGTCGAGAGATTTCTAGAAGATGGTGTGGCAAGAGTGCAAGGCCTTGTTTTTATCATGTACTGACCCATCCTGGCCACAGTTCCTGGCTGTGCCTCCCATAGGCCATTTCTGAACTTGTTCCTCTGTAGGAGAGGCCATACTGTGTTGAAGATTCACCTCCCTGCCAAAGAAGAGAATGTGATCCTGGTGCGGCTTTCTCAGATCCAGCGAGATTTGTACACACAATTCATGGACCGTTTCCGGGACTGTGGTAGCAGTGGCTGGTTGGGGCTGAACCCTCTGAAGGCTTTCTGTGTGTGCTGCAAGGTGAGTGGGAGCCTCAGGGAAGATGGATCAGAACTAGGGGTGCGCACAATCGCCACCACTAGGATGTTACTCCTAGTGGGAATCCCTGGTAACGGAAGAAAAAAGTGAGAAGGGCTGTCTCAGTTCCTAACACTGGAGTATTCTTTGGGGACTCCAAGTGAGACATGCTAATTGTATGCTACAAAACTTCTTGGGTTCCCTCATACAGATGCCCAGTGCTTGCTTTAAGAATATAGCTGTTCTATCTTTTCTCTTAGAAAAAAAAGGGTGATGGATGGGTGTTGTGGGATGGAGGTTTTTTTGTTTTTTTTTTGTTTTTTTTTTAATTGCTACGTGACTGAGGCTGGAGCTGGTGGCATAAGCCTATAGTGCTAACATTCAGGAGGCTGAGGCAGGAAGGTAGTGATTTGAGACAACTTGAGCTACATAAGGAGACACTGCCTCCAAAAAATAGAACATAAGAGAAGCTATACAAAATACCTTCTGTCTGATCTGTACTTAATGGATCTCATCCCTGCTACTGATCCTATTTCTTTGACTTAGTATCTCTGGTTCTATTTTTGGTAGATGTTGGGTATTGTTCCCAATTCCCCTTACTTTAGTAAGTCTGCTGAAGATATATCTCTGGGGTCAGGTGGTGTTTCTTCAGTTATATTTTCGTCCAGGTTGTCTTGGAATTCAGGTCCTCCTGCTTCAGCCTCCCGAATGTGGGGACTACTGGTGTGTGCTACCACACCTGGCAAAGGGTAGAATTTCAAAATATCTCTTTTGTCTTTGGAAACAGGGTCTTGCCATGCTGTCTTGTTTGGCCTTAAACTCTTGACAATCCTATTGCCTCAGTCTTCCTGGCGTGTGGATTATAAGCAAGTACCCTGACACATGGCTTTCAGAATAGTGCTTTTGTAGCCACTGTCCTGACCAGAGCCAAGAAACAAAAGCAAAAGCGTTCCTGTGATAGTCTCCAGGTTATGGCATCCTTCCTTCTTGCCCTTTTGCCAGGGATTCTCAGCTTTTCCTAGGAATTGTCTCTGAAATCTCATAGGATTGGTCATATATCAGATATGTTTTTTACATAGGGATTTTGTTTTGTATAGTAGCTGAATGTAGCCATACAATGACAACAAAACACTCTTTCCCCTGTTTGAGTTAAGAATGAAATACACATAACACAGACTTTCTGATTATACACTAAACACACTAGCTTTTCCCATTAATGTGTCATGGTTATCAGAGCCATAAGTGAAATTGCACACTCTTTGACTCTGAAGGATTTGGGGGTACATTAATTCTGGGTGTGCAATGGGAGCTATAGCAGCTGTTTGTTTGAGCATGTTCCATACTCCTCTGGACACCCTTGGAATGATCTCTGGTCTATACTCTTCCTTTGTTTAACTTTAGATCTGGAACCACCCTGATGTTCTGTATGAAGCCCTTCAGAAGGAAAACCTAGCCAATGAGCAGGACCTAGATGTGGAGGAGCTTGGGACCAGTGCCCGTTGCCCACCGCAGGGCACAAAAGTCAAGGGAGAAGATAGCACCTTGGCTTCCTCAATGGGAGAAGCAACCAATAGCAAGTTCCTACAGGGAGTTGGCTTTAACCCTTTCCAGGAGCGAGGCAATAACATTGTTACGTATGAATGGGTGAGTCAATCGGAGCCTTCATTAGCTTCTGAGGAGGGATGGTGATGACCAACCTAGGGAAAGAATAGTGTACACAGTTCTCCGCACTGCTGGGCCTGTGCAAAGAACAGTAAAGGTACTCAGTGGGCCACTGCCTGACAGGAGGTAATTTTATTTCTACTCATCTAACCTTGGACCTGCTCCAATCTTTTCTTTTGCAGGCCAAGGATCTCCTGACTAATTATCAGACTGGAATCTTAGAAAACTCTCCCAAGATGGTACTTCTTTTCCACCTGATTGAAGAAAGTGTGAAGCTTGGGGACAAGGTCCTTGTGTTTAGGTAAGAAGAGAAACTCCCAGTTGAGGCTTGGTGTCTGTAGGAAGGATGAATGCAGCACCTATGCAGGGAGACCATCTAACTTCATACTTGCACCTTGCCTTTTCCAGTGTTTTGTAACCAAGCACTTGGAGGTAGCCTTTCTTGCATCCCAACACCCAACCCAGGTCTCCCCACCTCCCCCAAAGTATTTAAGACCATGTGTTACATTGGCGATCCTATTATAGATACTGTAGTCCTTCATACTGTGGCCTGTACCAAACCCGACTAATTTTTACTTATTTTTTTTTAACATTTGTGTATTTTCTTTATTTATTTATGTTTAGAATTCTTATTTTACTTTAAGTTTGTGGTGCTGGGAGTTGAGCCTAGGACCTCTTGCATACTGGGTAAGCACTCTAACACTGAGATTAAGCTTGGCAGCAAGTGCCTGTATGGGCTGAACAGTCTTGTCAGCTCTCTTTAGGTTTTTGAGACAAGGCTCAAAAAACCAAGTTGGTTTGAACGCCTGGTTCCTTGCTGAGTGGTGAGGTTTGCCAACACCCCTGGCATTACTTTTCAAAAATCTGAGACAGAGTGTTACTAAGTTCCCTGGGTTGGTCTTGAATTTACTCCAGAACATAGGCTGGCCTTGAATTTGTGTTCTTCTTGATTCGGCCTCCCATGAAGGTGAGAATACCAAGCCCAACTAGTTTTTACACTTTATTTGTATAAAAATAAACACAAAGAATAGTGTATTTGGTTAGTTGAGTGTGGTGACTTTTAATCCCCGCACCTGGGAGACAGAGGCAGGTAGATCTCTGTGAGTTCCAGGACAGTCAGGGCTATGTAGAGAAACCCTGTCTCAAAACAAAACAAAACAAAAGATAAACAAGCAAAAAGATTCTATATGTCTACAAAACCGAAAATGTTTGCCATTTTGCCATTTAGGAAGCACATTTGTTGGACCTTCTATCCTGCTTCCCTGCTCCCTTTTTAAAATAAAGTTTTGCATATAAGGCCAAGTAAGTGGCTGTGTTGCACCATAGTCACACTCTAGGTTTGGCCAGGCATTTGAGTCTCATCAAGACTATATACAAGGAAAAGGCATGAAGTGGATTGCTTCTGGCTACATTGTGCCCCAAAGGCTGGTTTGGGAGCATCAGATGAGCTTTCATCTGTGACAGTTGGTAGTGATTTAAACTTGTCCTCTGATTTTACATACTACCTTTCAAGAACTCAGCTTTTCTGACTGTTTTGAAAACAGTTAAATGGATCCATCTCTGTAGTAAGATGCTTAAGATTGCCTGTGGCCCACAGTTAGACTCATTTGTACCTAATGTAGTGTTGGATTTCACTACCAAATACTACTGAGCATTGAGTTAAACCCCAGACTTTTCAATGGAGAGATTAAGGAATCAGAGAAATAGTGAGTTTTTTGTTTGATTGATTTGTTGATTGGTTTTCTGTTTTGCTTTGTTTTTATGGTGGTAATAAGTATATGGATAATGGCTCTCATTCTGAGTTAGGGAGAATATCCTTGGTTGTTCTTGGTGGAGTTCTGTCTTACAGGGATTAATTTATGGGAATTCCATTTAGAAGGTTGCACATGAATGGAAGAGCAAGGTTACTTGGGGTGTGGGAGCCATCTGAAGTACTTCTTCCCTTCCAGCCAGAGTCTTTCCACCTTGGCTCTCATTGAGGAGTTCCTAGGGAAACGAGACGTGCCCTGTCTGCCTGGTGCCGAGGGTCAAGGAGCACAGAAGTGGGTCCGAAATGTCAGCTACTTCCGTGAGTTTATTGCTACATTGTTTCTGGAGCCGTGCATGATTATTTAAGGGCACGCTCGCGCGCGCTCTCTCTCTCTCTCTCTCTCTCTCTCTCTCTCTCTCTCTCTCTCTCTCCCTCCCTCCCTCCCTCCCTCCCTCCCTCCCTCCCTCCCTCCCTCCCTCCCTCCCTCCCTCCCTCCCTCCCTCCCTCCCTCCCTCCCTCCCTCCCTCCCTCCACTCCATTCTTCTTCAAGTGTATAGAAATGTGATTATCCAAGGTAGCTTTTAAGAAAGAACCACTATTGGGCTGGAGAGATGGCTCAAGTGCTAGGATTACAGATGCCTGTGGCCATGCCTGGCTTAAAACTGGGCTCTAAAGAGGGTGGAGTCACTGTGGGGGGGTGGAGGAGGAGCCTTAGAGGGAAGATGGGAAGATTTGAAAGTTTAGAACGACTGTGGCCTAATGGTCCATCCAGGCCAGAGCAAGTATAAACCTAAATCATATTTTCTCTATTGGGGAGCTAAGTACTCCCAAGGGGATGAAAAGTTTGGGAGTGTCTATGTTGGGGGGAAATACCCTTATTTTCAGATGTGTAATTTATAGGTACACATAACCATTTATACATTCTATCAATAACATTAATATTTCATGGAAGACATGGTGTAATTGAGAAAGGTATCTAAAAATGACTGGTGATAAAAAAATAAAAGATGAGAAATATTGACCCTGCCCTGTAGACATTTGGCCTAGAATTTGGCTATAAGTATCTAACCTGTGTGTTGTAGGATATTCAGTAATATCTGTATTGTTTTTTAACTTGATGTCAGTAGCATCTTCAATTTTGAGAACTAAAAATGCCTGCAGTCATTGCCAGATTGTTTTATGGTGGTAGGAGAGTAGAGAAATAATCCATTGAGAACCATTGGCCTAAAGAAATAGTTTAGAGAATGAAGGTTCAGAGCTTGTGTTTTCTATAGGATTGAGGATTGTCCAATGAGACAGTGGGGAGCTGTGCTTCTGTGTTACAAAACTCAGGTTGTGCAGTAAATTGGAGTCCTGACTGAAAACACTAATGCCAGGCAACTAAGGTGTCTGCTTCCTATAACAGTAGCAATTCAGTTCCCCATTTGCATCTCATGCCCTTGATTTGTCCTCCCCAATCTAGCAGGTGTTAGATTGCCGCTCCGCTCTTATTTGTGCTGCTTCATAGGTGAAGGCGATAATTTCTTCCACTCGTAAAAACTCGTCTTTTTTTTTTTTTTTTTTTTTTTGAGACAGGGTTTCTCTGTAGCTTTAGAGGCTGTCCTGGAACTCACTCTGTAAACCAAGCTGGCCTCTTAACTCACGGAGATCCTCCTGCCTCTGTCTCCTGAGTGCTGGGACTAAAGGCGTGTGCCACCACCTCCCTACTGTCTTTTGTTCTTAATGACAGAATCTCACTATGTAGCCATGGTTGGCCTGAGACTGACTCTGTAGACCAGGCCAGCCTCTAATTCTTAGGGGTCTGTTTGCCTCTGCTTCCTGAGTGCTGGGACTAAAGTCGTGCACCACCACACCTGACCCTTTTGGGTGGGCCTTTCCTCCTCTTCCTCTTCCTCTTCCTCCTCCTCTTCCTCTTCCTTCTCCTCCTCCTTTAATGACAAGTTCTTAACATCAAGAACTTAAAACAAACAAACAAAAAACCAGTGTCTTGCTGGGCCTGGTGGCACATACCTATACATCCATCCTTTAGGGGCTGAGGTAAAATGTTTGTGAGAGGAAAGCTAGCCTGGACTATATAGTGACACTATTTAACAAGCTAGCCTGGACTATATAGTGACACTATTTAACAAGCTAACCTGGACTATATAGTGACACTATTTAACAAGCTAGCCTGGACTATATAGTGACACTATTTAACAAGCTAGCCTGGACTATATAGTGACACTATTTAACAAGCTAGCCTGGACTATATAGTGACACTATTTAACAAGAACAAAGCCTCTCAAGGAAAAGGAGTGGTGGAAGAACACTGTCCATATTAAAACACAAAGTCCTTGGTGCTTCTGCACTCACTAGGAGTTCCAGATAAAGCTGAGTGATCATCTTGAGTCATTCTTTTCTAAGTTCCATAGGTGAGTCTTATGCACACTTAAGTCTGGAAACCCTAGCCTTAGAATTCACTAGAGGAGAAAAATGTGTTTGTAGGTTTCTTGTTGATGTTTTGGGTTTTGCTTGTTTTTGAGACAGGGTTTCTCTTTGTAGACCCTGGGTCTCAGTGGACCAGGCTAGCCTCAAACTCAGAGATCATCTACTTCTACCTCCCAGTGCTGGGATTAAAGGCATGTACCACCACCACCTGGCTATATTTTATAGTTTCATGTTGCATGTCAGAGTTACTTGAGTATACTTTCATAGTGCTGATGTCTAGGCTTCATCATAGGGCCATAGTCTGTCCAGTGGATGGATGTTTTATTTTGTTTTGTTTTAAAAACATTTGCAGGGTTGGAGAGATGGCTCAGTGTTTAAGAGCTCATACTGCTTGCTCTTCCAAAGGACCAGAATTCAGATCCTAGCATCCAAGTTAAGCAGGTCACAAATACCTATAGCTCTAGCTCCTAGGGAATCTGATGCCTGTGGCCTCTGTAGGCACCTGTATTCATATGTATATACGTACACACAGACCCAGACACATATATGCAATTAAAAATAAAATAAATATTTTTTTTAAAGCCCAAACATTGTTCAGTGACTTTGCTGGGTTTCTCTGCCCTCAGCTATTCTTTTTTGGTTTGTTTTCTTTCTTCCTAGGGCTAGATGGTAGCACCCCTGCCTTTGAGAGAGAGCGGCTCATTAATCAGTTCAATGATCCCAGCAACCTTACCACCTGGCTGTTCCTTCTTTCTACGAGGTGAGTGGAGTCTGTAAGGGGGTGTTTGTGCAATTTGCCACCTGGGCAGGTATTTCAAAGGCTTGTCTAAATCAGAGGTCTGCTCAGGTTTGTAATTGTTTTTTGAGGTCAGAAAGGGGATCCCATGGAAAGTTGTTATAAAGGTAATCATCATAATGTCATAAAGTTATTTGAGACCTTCATTAATAATTGTCATAGTTAGATTTTCTCTCAGGAATGCTTTATTACATTAGGTAATATGATATTAGTGTAAATAAAAATGCTTTAAAAGGTGAAAAGTGAGCCGAGTGTTGATGGCGCACGCCTTTAATCCCAGCACTTGGGAGAGAGGCAGGTGGATCTCTGTGAGTTTGAAATAGCCTGGTCTACAGAGTGAGTGCCAGGACAGCCTCCAAAGTCACAGAGAAACCCTGTCTCCAAAAACCAAAAAAACAAAAAAAACCAAAAAACCCAAAAACCAAAACAAAAGGGTGAGAAGTGCCCAGTCAGCAATCAGAAGGCAGGAGGATTTTTTGTGTTTAAGGCTATCCTGAGTTCAATCAGTGAGTTCTATCAGAACAGCAAACCAAAACAAAAAAATAAATCTAAAGTATAGTATAACTGTAAAAGGTTGATGTTTTCTATTTCATGACAAGTACATTAAAGACTGTTGCTTTCTACCAACAGTGTTCAACAGCATATGGGTTCTTTTCCATTGGTTTGTTTGGAATAAGGTCTCATGTAGTCCATGCTGGCCTTTGGCTCCTGATCTTCCTGCCTATACTGCCCATACATTGGGATCATAGTCTCATGCACTGCTCCCAGTAGATATGAGTCTGTCATTCCCCCTTAGGTATGAAAATAAAAACACTGGAGACATTTTATATATACAGACATTTTTACGCACTAAGGGACAGCACTCTGGAGCTATTATGTAGGACTTTACCTATCAGAGAGTTCGAGAGCTATAGACACTGTCGTATTGAACTTCAGGGCACACTTGAGGAGCAATCATAGTGTTTATTAGGAGAATAATAACTGAGTTTACTTAAGACAAAGTGATGTTGGGGTAGGAGTCACAGAGGGCAAAGCTTACTATTAAACCATCTTTAAAACTAAGGGTTTTATGGTTATTGGTTTATGTCTTCAAGGGCTGGATGCTTGGGTGTGAATCTGATTGGTGCCAACCGAGTGGTAGTATTTGATGCTTCCTGGAACCCTTGCCATGATGCCCAGGCAGTATGTCGAGTATACCGTTATGGCCAGAAAAAGCCCTGTCACATCTATCGCCTTGTGGCCGATTATACTCTTGAAAAGAAGATCTATGACCGGCAGATTTCCAAGCAGGGCATGTCAGGTGGGCCATTTTTCAGGCTGTTCCAGATACACTTCTATACTAGCTGCAGTCCCATAGGGATCAAGGGTGTGAGGGGAGGTGTAGGGCATGGGAACACAGATAGCCTTTGAATCATAGAGGGCCAGAAGTTCCTCCTATCTCATTCTAATTCAGATCATTAAGGAGACTGGCCTCATTGTGGAAAGTAAGTTTAACAAGAGGAATTAGTAGTTTTCTATGATGTTTCCCTTTTACCAGGACCCTCGGCTTGTCCTTTAACTTTTATATGTCGACTTTTCCTTATTGTCAGTTAAGCCGCTTTCACTCTGCTGACCTCTGTAGTTGTGTTTTCAGTCGTCTTCGGTGTGTGCTGACTTTGTTCTTATCTCTTTCCACTAGACCGGGTGGTGGATGATCTAAACCCAATGCTGAACTTCACCCGGAAGGAAGTAGAGAATCTGCTTCACTTTGTTGAGAAGGAGCCAGCTCCCCAAACGTCTTTGGATATAAAGGGGATCAAGGAGTCAGTCTTGCAGCTTGCCTGTCTGAAATACCCTCACCTCATCACCAAGGTGTGCACTGCTATGTATGAAGTCCTTGCTTTGGTATGGCAGGCTCAGTCAGTGAAGATTTGTTTGGCAAACCTGCTTCCTTCTGAAGTGTATTTCATGCACACAACTGGGAGTGAATCGATTTCCTTCTCTGACCCCCCCTACCTCCACCATTGTCTAGTCTTTGGAGTATTGAGCTTAGTCAGCCATGTCCAATGATCTGACCACTGTGAGTCTCCCTAACAAAGGAGGGAGAAGTTCTGAATACAGTTGAATTCTCTGCACTTTTTATTCTTTTGGTAGGAATATAAACTTAGGCATTTGAAACTGATACTAGGTCAGAGCTGTGAACTCTACTATTTAGTTTTAAGATTTATTGTTACTTTTAGTTGTGTGTATGTGTGTGTCTTTGTGGGTGTGTGCATGTGAGTGCAGATCCTGTGCAGCCCAGAGGTGTTGGATCCCCCTGGAGTTGGAGTTACAGGAAGCTGTGAGCTGTCCAGCATGGATGCTGGAAACTGAGCTTGGGTCTTCTGCAAGAGTAGTATGTTGTGCTCTTAACTCTTAACCACAGAGTCATCTCTCCAGCCCCTTTTAAAATTTTGCAAACAGCATGCGTGTGTGTATATGTGTGTGTGTGTTTACATGTGCAAACTTGTGTATTCACCGCAGCCTGCATGTGGAGGTAAACGAGAACAGCTTCACAGAGTCGGTTCTCTTTCTCGGTGTGTGTACTTTGGGCATTGGGCTTGGGTCACCAGAGTACTGCTCACCAGCCCATGAACTACACTCTTGACAGAACCTGCTTGCCTATAACAGGCTTTTTGCCAGTGTTGGAGAAAACCAACCTCTTCTTGATTCCAAAATAAGGCTCACTGTACATCAGTTGTATTTGCACAAAGACTGGCAATTAAACCCTAATGTCCTATGTCTCCAGGAGCCTTTTGAGCACGAGTCATTGCTCCTCAACCGAAAGGATCACAAGCTGACCAAAGCTGAGAAGAAAGCAGCAAAGAAAAGCTATGAGGAGGACAAGCGCACGTCAGTGCCCTATACTCGCCCATCATATGCACAGTATTACCCTGCCAGTGACCAGAGCCTGACCAGCATCCCTGCCTTCAGCCAGAGGAACTGGTGAGTTACTAAAGGGAGAGAGCGAGTCTGGCTGGTCTAGACCCAAATTCCTTTCATTCTGTTCTTGTTTAACCAAAGGCAGAGTGTACAGCCTGCTCTTTGGCTGCTATGAGAAGAAGGTCCTGCTCTAGAGTCAGGCGTCTCAGCAGCTCAGCAGCTCAAGTATTCTGAATAGCTGGAGAAATTAGCTGAAATGAGTTGCTCATTTTGCCACTCAGGTAGAGCCCTTCTGGTAGAATGGTATAAGATGGTTGTTTTACAGGGCAAGCTCAAGTCACATGAGAATGTATATACCAACCCAAGAGGACATCTTCCTCATGCATCAAGACCACAGATATAGACATCAGGAAGCTTATTGATAGGTAGGGTTGGTGAGATGATCAGCAGAAAGAGTACTCTGTATGCAAGCCTGAGGACCTGAGTTCAATTCCTGGACCCTACATTTAAGTGGAAGGAGAAAACTGACTCTACATAGAGCTGTCCTCTGACTTCCACACACATGCCTTGGCAAGCATGCACCAGCTTATACACATCAAATACATGCCTGCACAATAATAATAATTTTTCCTTCATTATTTATTGAAAATTGACTATGTATGAAGCATTCACACATGCCTGGCAGAGTGCATTTATGTACAAAGAATCAATAGAGCCATTCCAAATCAACTGTAGGAAAAGGCACAAAGTGGTCAAATGTCTTGAGGTAGGAAATGCCAACAAGTATAATAAATTCCTAAAAGCTTAGCAAAAGAAGGCTTCTTCACAAATCTATTAGAAAAGCAAGTGTGGTGGTGCATGCCAGTAACTCCAGCACTTGGGATGTAGAGACAGGAGGAGAAATTTAATGTTATCCTTGGTGAGTTTGAGGCCAGCTAGCAGCACGTGAGTGGTGGTGGGGGGGGAGAAGAGACACAGGGTGGGGAACGGACGGACATACATACAAGTAGAGAGAGATCTTGGTCTTGAACCAGGAGTCATACTTGGTCATGTACTACCATCTAGTGAAAGGTGAACCAGGAAGGACGCTCCACTGGCCATGGGTGATATTTTGTTAGAAAGACGCACAAGCAGATCTCTCTCTGGTTGTAGTACTATCATGTAGAAGTGTGGCTTTGTGCAGGAGCTTTGGTTGCACAAAGCTGCTTTTGTGCGGTGGTCATAACTAGAGAGGCACTGTGGAGACAGACCCAGATAGGAGCCAGGAGGAGTGCCATGAAAAGTAGTCTAGAGTAGAGCAGGGCATTTTGTTAAGAGAAGCTTTTCCTTTTTAGCTGCTTTGGTTTATCCCCCGCCAGTCGCCTGGGCTCTGCCGCGCCAGCCTGGTTCTAGATCCGCATCAGTCCCAAATAAACACACAGGAAGCTATATTCATTATGAAGCTGTTGGCCTTGTTTGTCTCTTACTGGCTAGCTCTGCTTTAAGTAATTACCCCATAATTGTTAATCTAAGTATGTCTCTTACCGGAGAATAGTTCCAGGCTTCCTACCCCCAATGGCGTTACATGTTGACTCTCTTGTGTTTCCCCTTCCCAGAATCCTCCTCGACTCCTAGTCCCTCCTATCTAGGTTTTCTATTGGCCAGACAGTACTTTATTGACAAATGCACAGGCAAATAACAGGACTTCCCCAACATCTCCTCTTTTCTGTTTAAACAAAAGAAAGGTCTTAATTTTAACATAGTCAAATTGTATATGACAGAACAGTTATCAAGTAAGAACATAGTTACAATATTTTAGCAAGATTTAAAGAAAATATCATCCATCCCATCCTTGTGAGTCCAAAGTCCTATATGTAGCTTATCTTTTATCATAACTAAGGAAAACTATAATTATAACTATCTGTCTTCAACTCCATCAAAGACCACAGAAGGATAATATATAAACACTAGGATTGACAGAGACATCTTACTGCCTGGACAGTCACCCGAAGTTCCTCTGTAACGTTGGGGCATCCATCTTCAGCCCATAGGCCACAATGTGTCTGGAACACTTCTCAGCAAAGCAGGAAATTTCAAACTGTCCATCTGCATTGGCAGTCTGTCAGTCATTTTTCTTTGTCCTGCAGAAAGTCTCGTAGACTCTTCATCAAGCAGGAACCCTGTAAGACTGAGTTCAGTAGTCACTTTCCTGTGGGTCCTGCATGTCCAGATGATACAACAACAGTCAAACAATCTAGGCAAGAGCAGTTTCTTGCCCAAATGGCTAATATTGCCACGTTGAAAGCAAACTCCATAACGAGTTTCTTCGATGCCCATTTTCCTCTCAGACATAATTGGTGCTGCCAGGAGCAGACATTTCTCATTGTCAAGACAAACCCTAAACCATTTTAAATGCCATGTTCTGAAGGTCTTTGAGAGGTTTGAAGACTGTCCATCTCAAATATATTTCTGTATATCTAGAAACCTAACTTATGTAACTAGAAATTCTATTATAAGTAACTATCTGTAGTCTGTATTCAATTATGCATTACGTTGTAAAAGATCAGTATAAGCACAATACTTAGTCAAGAGGAGAAATATAAGCATCACAAAATTGACCTTGATTTTGTCTCAATAAATGAAAAACAATACCCATACCATAATTCCCCTTTTTACCATTAAAAAAGAGTGGCTATGATCACTAGCCAATTATAAACAATCCCATTTAAATGAAAACAAAGATTTATAAACAAGATGGGAATTGGGACGTCGCTCATTCCAAACTGCTTCCTGCTGGAAGGGGGCGCTGTTTATACCATGGGGATCATGACAAAACTCAGAAACCTGTATAAGTCCATATTTTCGGGGTCTGTAAGACTGCATCATCTTTGCTGTTTTGATTGTTGGAACACCTGGTCCACTGCTTCCGGGGGTCTTGGTTCGTCAAACCACAAAAGCCTGGAAGGAATCCTTAGCTTTTCATTTTCTGTAATATGTACTGAGGTTCCCGGGTGTGCAAGAGAATCAGAGAGTGAGGAAAGATTCCTGGAGTTGGGATAGATGATCCCTGGAACTCACAAAGTTCTCATAAATTCTGCCCTTTGGATTTCAACTTACGTGGTATCAAGTGCTTGCCCTTCCTTTTTATAGTTTGTATCATCTAATCTTCCCTTTACAGCTGGTTTCTGATGTAGATGCTCTACTTTCTAGAGAAGCAGATGGTACTTTCCATCCCTGAAAGGCATTACCCCACTAACATCTGACTGCTTATCTCTGGAAATGAGCTGCCTCCAGGCTTCTTTAGAATTGGCTAGTCTCTGCATATTCTTCCTTCTTTCAGCAGTAGATAAGGGTGCAGGGCGTGGCATCTATAGTAGCTCAGTGGCTATTCTGTCTAAATCTCTAAATGTGCTTGTTTTTTTCCTGCAGGCAGCCAACACTGAAGGGTGATGAAAAGCCTGTGGCCAGTGTTCGTCCTGTACAGTCCACCCCTATCCCCATGATGCCCCGGCATGTCCCACTCGGTGGCAGTGTAGGCTCTGCCTCCAGCACAAATCCATCCATGAACTTCCCCATTAACTACTTGCAGCGGGCAGGAGTCCTTGTGCAGAAAGTGGTCACCACGACAGGTTGGGAATTCTTACTTTCTGTTCTGGGGATATCTGTCTGCCTGCCTGCCTATCTCCTTAAATCATCCCTTCTTCTCCCTTTTTTTTAACCTTAAAGATTTATTTATGTGTATGGGTCTTTTGCCTGCATGTATGTAAATGTACCCCATATGTACCTGGTGCCTGCAGAAGTCAGAAGAGTGTGTTGGATTCCCTGGAAATGAGATTACAGTCAATTATGAGCTGCTGTGTGGGTGCTAGGAACCAAATCTGGATCCTCTGCAATAGCAGCACGTGCTCATAACCATTTATTTTGTGTTCATGTGTGTGCCATAGTGCTCTTGTGTTCCCTGGGGATCAAACCCAGGTTGTCATGGTTGACAACAAAACAATTTTATTCACTGAGCCATTACACCAGCCCAGCGTTGTCTTTTGTAATTTGAGGTTGTTCATCCAGGAAGGCTTCATTAAACACCTTTTGTATAATAGACCTTTCCGTATTTGACACCATGCATAAAAATGAAGGTTCCCTGATCTTGAAGAATTTGCATTCTGGTGAAATATTTTAATATAATATATGGGTTGGGTTTTTGTTGTTGTTGCTTTATTGTTTTAGAATGATGGTGAATGGAATTCTATGAATACTTCAGGGATTCTGGAGATGTTACTGGAATATTAGTTTGGGCTTCAAAGGTTTTCAGAGATACGCCTAACACAGGGTCAACTGGGTTTCAAAGGGGCAGCCTCCAGAGTTAGAAGACCTGAACCATTAGGGTGCTTCTTTTCTGTGTTGGTTTGCTGTAGATTGGGCATGGTGGGCCAGGGAGCAGTGGAGTTAGGTGGGTGTTTCAGCCAAGCCCTGGTGTTAGTTCTGAGATTCAGAGTGGCTGGGGAGGAAAGCATTTTCCTCTTCACTTGTTAATTTTTTTCCCCAAAGACTTAGTATGCCTACAATGTGCTGCCTGCAGGTCAGAAGAGGGAAAAGATCTCATTACAGATGGTTATGAGCCACCATGTGGTTGCTGGGAATTGAACTCAGGACCTCTGGAAGAGCAGTCAGTGCTCTTAGCCATTGAGCCATCTCTCCAGCCCCACTTGTTATTTGTAAATACCCATGTTATTCACATTTTGATGAAAACATCTTTATTTTTCTGAGAATGAAAGCACTATATGACATTTATTAACAACTGTGAAATAAACTGAACAAAACCCCTGTTACTCTTATTTCTCAAATGAATCTTGAAAATACTCTTTTCCAGTTGTGAGGTAATGCCAGCAAGGAGGATAGAGCACTTTTGGAGCCTAAAATGATGTGGGACAAATACACGCAAATATTTCAGAGTGGAGAAAAATAGAAATGGCTGTTCAAACTGGTTTATTTTCTAAACCAAAAACCCTATAAATTTTTAATTAAAGCAAAGGAAATTGATTAGAAAGATGACCAGATTTCTAAGCAGCTTTGGTTTTCATAGTATTCTTTGATGAGACAGTTGCAAAGGTTCTGCTTGTTCAACCTTCTCTGATTCTAGCTATACAGAAAGGCTGTGGGACACTAGTTAGGACCTGGGATAGATGTGAGACTGTTTCCTTCTTTTCTTCAAGCCCTATGTCATCTAAATGCAAGGTCTGTTTCTCACTAGATATTGTTATTCCTGGACTCAACAGCTCCACAGATGTTCAGGCAAGAATCAATGCTGGTGAGAGCATCCATATCATCCGGGGGACAAAAGGTGAGAGCCTAGCCAAGTGTCTTTGTCTGAGTGTCAAACTGAGAATCAGAATAAATACTTACGGTTGAAGCTAGAGAGAGCATAGGAATAATCTTATAAGAGCTTCACAGTTGAGAGAAACGTGAAAATGCTTTTCTATGAGCTCACATTGAACTTCAAGGATATCTGTCAGTGGCTTAAAAGAAGGAAATTGGGATTCCCATGTTTCTGTATCTTTTGTTTATATTAATCTTGGGATGAATATGCATAGATATAAAGAGACCAAAACTGAGGGGAACAGTTGTGGAGTGGACTATAAGCAAACGTGTGCTGTCATTTATACACAACTTTTTAAAGCCAGGATGGTGGTTCCAAGTTAGGAAATGTATACTGTACATGAATTAGTACAGATGGGTTGCACAAAAGAATTTTTAGTGTGGTAACTTTTTTATCTTTTTTTCTTTTCTTTTCTTTTTTTTTTTTTTTTTTTTTTTTTTGGTTTTTCGAGACAGGGTTTCTCTGTATTGTTTTGGAGGCTGTCCTGGAACTCACTCTGTAGACCAGGCTGGCCTCGAACTCACAGAAATCCGCCTGCCTCTGCCTCCCAAGTGCTGGGATTAAAGGCGTGCGCCACCAACGCCCGGCTAGCGTGGTAACTTTAAAAAGCCCAATATGATGGCCAGGCATAGTGGTGCACGCCTTTCGTCCCAGTACTTGGCTGGGAGATCAAGGCCAGCCTGGTCTATGTAGTGGATTCAAGGACAGCCAGAGCTATGTAGTGAGACCCTATGTCAAAAAAACAAACCAAACCAACCAACTAACCAAACAAACAAAAATCCCAATAAATAATAGCCCAATATGTTTCTCGTGTTCTCACAATAGATGATGTCACTGAAATGAAAAATGTGGGCTTAATAGTGTCAGGATACAAATAGTGGTCTTTATTTGATGCCTGTGGTGCAAGCATCCCCTCACCCAGCCCTTATAGCCTGTCACAAAGTTCCATCCCCTGTGAGGCTGCTTGAGAAGTTTGCCCTAGTCTCCATTGGATCAAGGGGAAGGGTAGGGTAACACAGACACAGATGACTCTACCCAGCCTTATCTGGAGCAGGGATTGGCAGGCTGAGCTGGGTGTGACATGTCTAGCCTGCTTCTAGTACTATGCCTGAAATCTATGGTATATTTTACGTTGGGGAGGGGGCCTTTTTGAGACAGGGTTTCTCTTTGTTGCTTTGGCTGTCCTGGAACTCACTATGTAGACCAGGCTGGCCTCAAACTCTCGAATGCTGGACTTGCACCATCACTGCCTGGTTGTATTTTACATTTTTAATTAATAGAAAACAGAATAAAATCAAGGGAAAAATCAAGAATAATATTTTGTGACATGGAAATTATATGAAATTCAAATTTTATTTTACAAAATAACTTTATTTGACAAGAAATGATAATACAGGTTAAGAAAGAGATGGAAAGCCAGTGAGATAAGTCAGCAGGTAAAAGCACTCATCACCAAGCCTGGGTCCCACATAATGGAAGATGCAAACTGCCTTCCATCCTGGCACACACCTGCAGACACACATTTATTACACTTACTTATTAAGTGTAATAAAACGTTTTAATTAAAAAAATTATTTATTTGTGTGGGTGCTTTGCCTGCATTTATGTCTGTACACCACATGTATGCCTGGTACTAGTGAGACCTGAAAAGAGTATCAGATCTCCTGAAACTGGAGAAAAACAAGGTAGGTTAGTGCCTTTTAGGAATAGACTACAGGTCTTGAAGTAACCCAACCAAGCAATAGAGAGGATACTGAAGCCTAAGGGTCCATTTTCCAGACCAAGAAGACCATCTGGGCTAGCGTACCTGAGAGCACAGAGATTGTTTTTCACAGGACCTGTTGACTTCTTCCATGGTTTTGGTACTTTGTAGAGTAAATACCTAGAGGTTAAGGTCCATGAGACAAGCCCCTTTCTGTCTCATGTATTCAAGTTTTAAAACTGCCTGGTATATGATAGGTTAGCAATCAATATTTACAGAATAGATGAATCATTATGAACCGAGACTTCAGTTACCCCGTTCTTATTGCAGGGGTCTTGGGGTTTGAGATCTAATTTTGCTGGCACTTCCCAGCCCTTGGTGCCCGGATTTTCTCAGGTCTGGCTATATTTCATGCAGGTTCCTGATAGTCTGTCTCATATCTCTTAGGGACATACATCCGCACCAGTGATGGACGGATCTTTGCTGTCCGGGCAACTGGCAAACCAAAGGCCCCTGAAGATGGTCGGATGGCTGCCTCAGGTATGATGGCCCTTTACTTTCTATTGATCTACAAAACGATTTAGAACACAGGAAAGGATAGGTGATGAAAAATAAGTTTTTCTTTCCTCCTCCCAATCCTCTTTGGTCCTCCTTGGAGGTCCTGCTCTGCTGAGTTGTTTTAAAGATATTCCATACATGGTAAAGGGTTTTGTGTGTGCATACAAATGTGATTGTGTATTTTAAATGCATAGTTTTTCTTTGCATTTTAAAAACAAATGCTAATGTATTATACTTTATTCCTTTTTTTTTTTCACTCACCAGTGATAGCTCATTTCCTAACCTTTGTTTTAGTCATGCCTCGGTGAAAGTTTACTATTGATTTACATTTAGCTTATTCGTACTGGCTTGTGGGTGTAGTTATGGGACACACTCTTAGAAGTAGAATTTTTGGTCAAGGGTGTATTCCTGGCACATGAACGATGTTAAGGACTTTTGCCAATTTCTCCTCAATAGAAGTGGTTTTCATGTATTATCATACCATTGAGATAGGAGAGCTAGACTGCGCCTGGTGTCGCTGTTCTAGCATTCACTTGTGAGTTGGAAGAAGGGAAGTACTGAGTGTCTGTATTCCTTGCACCTAGACCCAAGGATCAATTTCCTATTAATCTTCTGTCTTCCCTTGCCTTTTTATTATGTGAATTATTTGTAAGCTGAAAATACAATGCTATTTTATACATACCTACACACACACACACACACACACACACACACACACACAAAGAGTAAGAACATTCACATCCTAGCTACAACATCATACTAAAAGAAAAATTAATAAATCTAATATCCAACTTTTATCCAGATTTCCTAGTTTTCCAAATTGTTTCTTATAGCTAGATTTTGTTCTGTCTTAAACTTGGATAGGCTGTCTTTTAACTTCATTTGTATCTTTTTATCCCTTAGCTGTTGCCCCCAGAAAAAAAATGTGACTAGTTAGTTTTAAGGAAATTTTCCAACTGGGCATGGTGGTGCAAACCTTTAATCCCAGCATTCTGAAGCAGAGGCAGGCAGATCTCTGTGAGTTTGAGGCCAGCCTAGTCTATATAGTAAGTTCCAGGCTAGCCACCTCTACATAATAGACCTGGTCTCCAAAAAGGGGAAGGATTCCCAGTGTTTCATATCCATTATTTCATAGTATTCACTTTGTAGAATTGTTCAGACAGAGGAAGGTGCAGGAAGCCTACATGTCCTTTCATGACTAGACTTGTGCATTAGTTTCCTTGTTGCCATGATAACACACCTAGGGAGGAAAAGTGTATTTTGGCTTACAGTTCGAGGGGCTACAGTTCAGAAGGAAGTCATATCAGCAGAAGCTGAGCTGGCTGCTCACTTATGTGCGGTCAGGAAACAATAAATGGCAGCGCTCATTTCACTATCTCCTTTTTAATTCTGTCTCACACCCTATCCCATGGAATGACACTGCTGCCACAATTAGATGAATTTTCCCACTTCAGTCAACTTAATCTAGAAGCTCCCTCACAGCCATGCCCAGAGACTTGTCTCCTAGGTGATTCTTGGTCCTGGTCAAGTTGACAGTTAGTATTAACCATCATATAGTGTTCCTGGAATCAAAAAATTCTGTCTTGTGGGGAAAGTTGACTAGATAGTGTTTAAATATCAAACAATGAGAATTTGTGGAGCACATGACAAGATTTATTCTTACTAGAATTATTTTTCCTTTTCATTCTGATTTCAGCTACCTGTGTTTTATCTACAGGTTCCCAGGGGCCTGCTCTTGCGTCCACAAGCAATGGCAGACATAGTGCCTCATCACCCAAAGCCCCTGACCCTGAGGGGCTGGCCAGGCCCGTCTCTCCTGACAGCCCAGAGATCATCAGTGAGCTCCAACAGTATGCAGATGTGGCCGCTGCTCGGGAATCCCACCAGAACTCCCCAAGCATCAGTACCGCCCTGCCTGGCCCTCCAGCCCAACTTATGGACAGTAGTACCATTCCCGGGACAGCGCTTGGAACTGAGCCTTGCCTTGGGGGTCATTGCCTCAATAGTTCTCTTTTGGTGACTGGCCAGCCCAGTGGTGGCAGGCATCCAGTGCTGGACTTAAGGGGCCACAAGCGAAAGTTGGCCACTTCATCTGCCACCCAGGAGTCAGTCCGTCGGCGGTCCAGGAAGGGCCATCTGCCAGCCCCCGTGCAGCCCTATGAACACGGGTATCCAGTCTCTGGCGGGTTTGCCATGCCACCCGTCTCCTTAAATCATAACCTCACCACCCCCTTCACCTCCCAGGCTGGGGATAATTCCCTGTTTATGGGCAATACCCCCTCCTACTACCAGCTGTCCAATTTGCTGGCAGATGCCCGCCTGGTGTTCCCAGTGACTACTGACCCTCTGGTGCCAGCAGGCCCTGTCAGTTCCTCTTCCACGGCTACCTCAGTCACTGCCAGCAACCCCTCCTTCATGCTCAACCCCTCTGTGCCAGGGATACTACCCAGCTATTCACTCCCATTCTCACAGCCACTCCTGTCCGAGCCGAGGATGTTTGCGCCTTTTCCTTCCCCTGTCTTGCCCAGCAACCTTTCCAGGGGCGTGTCTGTCTACCCAGGCTACATGTCCCCACATGCAGGCTACCCAGCTGGTGGTCTCCTCCAGTCCCAGGTGCCTCCATTTGACTCCCATGAGGTTGCTGAGGTGGGGTTCAGCTCCAATGATGATGAGGATAAAGATGATGACGTGATAGAGGTCACTGGGAAATAGCGAGGAAGCCCCTTCCCACCTCACTTGGGGCCCCTAGCAGGTTGCCCACCAAACTGGAAGGCAGTGAACCTGGTCTTTCTGAAAATAGGGTACTTGGCAGGAGGGAAAAGAAGAGTGGTTGGCCATAATGGCAGGGCTCTATTGCTGTTTATTAGAAGAAAAAAAATAACAAAAGGAAAAAAAAACCCAACAGAGCCGCAATAGTGGGAAATCAGGGACCGAAAACAGGGATGGAGGGGTAGGGCAGCCTGCCTCTTCCTTCCTGCCTTGCTTTCGCTGTCTGCTTATTTGCCCATCTGAGTGTATAAGCTCACATCCCATTCTGCCTTTGGGAACATCTCTCCCAAGAGAGCTGCCTTACTCAGTGACTTCGTTTGGCCTGGGGATGGGAGAAGTGAGGGAGATAAGGGAAGGCATGGGGAGCAGACTAAGATCCCATGTGAAGTGGTATCTTTTTAGGAGGTTGGAAGGAAGCAGACAGGTGTGTGTGTGTGTGTGTGTGTGTGTGAGAGAGAGAGAGAGAGAGAGAGAGAGAGAGAGAGAGAGAGAGAGAGAGAGAGAGAGAGAGAGAGAGAGAGAGAGAGAGAGAGAGCTAGCGCACGCACACGTGTGTAGCAGAATGGGTGAAAGCAGAGGGAAGGGAGGGGAAGCTAAGGTAAAAAATGAGCTTATCTTTTTTGGAGTGTGAATCAGAGTGTGGTGGTTTATGGCTATTAAGTTGAACGTTAAAGCGAGTCCAGGAGAAGAGCCACGGGCATCAGTTTCCTTCCAGATAGGTGAAGAGAAGGCCAGGCGAGTCCCAGGTTTTCAGAGCTACATTTGTTTAACGTGAGGGGAAGTCATGAGGAAGTGAGCATTTCCAGTCTCCGGCTTTCCACAGTGGCCGCCTCTGAGCAGATGTCCCTTTCTGCGTGGGCTAGAAGAAGTACACTGCAAGGTGAGGGTGAGGTCATAGTTGTGGCTAGAAAAGAAGTTGCTTCATCAGGACAGAACCAAGCCCCTTAGGCTGCCTGTGCTGGTGGTGTTTCCTTCTCTTTCCTTCCCTGTTAGAGAGCTCCGTGTTAATTTATTTCTTATGCGCAATTATTTATTTTCATTTTGGGTAGGGGTGGTAGGGGGAGGTTATAAGGAAGATAGGAGATAGTAAAGGAAGTTCTAAGATACTCCATACCCCCTAGCTGCTGGTACAAAAGATAAAAGAAAAAAAAAAAGGGTCCCAGATGGATGGTGAATTAATTGACCAGGGAAAGAAAATTAGAATTAACCAAGAGTTAGATTAAACAACTGTGTTGTGGGGAAGTGGCCTCTCAGGAAAATCAGGGAGCCCTGAGACTGGCTAGTTGGGGGTGGTGAGACTCATTCCACAGAAATTGAAACTTGGGATCATGGACTTTGCTACTGGGAAGTAAGTAACCTCCACATTTGGAACTGTTGTCTTCTATGATGATTTTACAGGCCAGTTCTCTCTGCTGAATCGTGAAGCTGGCTGGATAGGTAGCTGCTGGGTTGCGGTAATGAACTATTGCTTTCCAGTTGGGAATTGTCTTGGCCTCTCCACCCTATCAAGTGGTCAGTGTGGGCCTGGCTTCTGTTGCCTCCATCTTCTCTGAAGGATCATGAGGAAGCCCTTCCTCTGTAGGAGTCTTAAGTCTGGCTTCTGTTTTAAAAGAATACATGAGTCATTCTGGTCTCTTTCCTTTTTCCAATTGGGAGAGCAGGGATATCTAGTGCTTACACACAAACACTGAACACTGGCTGTTTTCTTGGTGTGTACCGCCTTGTAGCTGCCCCCCCCCCCAAGTTTTCCAGGCAGTTCTTTGTGGTGAATAGCACACATGGTGCCTGACTTTACCACCTTCCTTTGGCTCCTGACTGGGCAACTGCTAAATCTGCCTCCTAGCCCAATAAGTATCCTAACCTCCTGTGACTCTTGACTAGCAACTTCCATTATTGGGGGCAAGGAGGGAGGTTCAAGGCAGGCCCTATGTGGTTTTCTCAGAGAGACAAGGAGGTATGGCTGATGGGGTGTGTGTACTGTCCAGTAACACCAAAAGTGGGCCTTTCTCTGTCTTCATACACACCCTGTTAGACACTGACTATTCTACTCATAGAAGCCTTAGATCTACAATCTAGCTATGCAAATTATTTTTAATAATTGGAAAATAGCAGTTCCAACCAGTGCTTTCTCTGTGAAATGTAGCCCAAGAATGGATAGTCAAGGCATTTGAATTGGAGTGCGCTCTTAGGTTGAGGCTGGTGCAGTGGGAGTGAGCTAGTCCAGATCTCTATAATTTGAAGAATACACACAGAACTTGGGTTACATGGATGCCTCTCAGACCTTGGAACACTGAGCTCCCAGAGTTATGTGTGTCTGTGTCAAGTGTGCCTGTGTTTATGTCTGTCTCTGTGTGTTAGACTTTGGAACACTGAGCTCCCAGAGTTGTGTGTCTGTGTTTGTCTGTGTGTGTATTACATGGATGTCCCTCAGACCTTGGAACACTGAGCTCTGGACTTGTGGGTCTGTATGTACCAGGGAACTTGGTGATTCTGTGTTCACAGATAGAATATCACTAGAAATGATTTCAGTAGGGAACTGAAACCGTCAGTTTTTAAGCTGCCCATAAGTAAATGGGTATTCTAAGAGGTAGCATGTCTCTCCTCTACATGCTGTCATTCCAGGGCTTGGAACTCATGTCAGCTTAGCCAAGGCTAACTCTTGGCAAGGCTCCTGGTTAAAAAAGGCTTTTATAATAATGTGCAGCTTCTATTGTGTAGGGGCAGGAGGGCAATCATGGGAGATTGAATTGCCTACTACTAATCCCATGGGCTTTGGCACAGGTACCTCCCACCCAACAAACCGAAAACACATGGCTTTTCCTGTGGGCTGGTGGGGAAATGTGCATGCACACAAACATTGGCATGTGATGTGGGGAGCAGGATACTTACAGACCGTACTGTACGGGATTGGAAACACTTAGTGGTAGGTAAGTGGGCAGGAAGATCAGCTTGGTCTACATACACAGTGAGACCCTGGGGAAAGGCAGACAAAGACAGGCTCATGTTTTTTCTCTCATTTTGTACTTGTCTTTCATGGGGTGTTTTTAAGGGTCTCTCAAGTCTAATCACTCTGATGGATTCTAAATTCTTATTCTAGGGAACACTACTAAATGATGCAAGATGACACTTGAGATACTTGATTCCCTTTTCTTATATCTCTGGGTCAGATCCTTCTTGATGGCTTATTCCTGAAGTCCCCGCCCCTTTGAGTTATGCTACTTAAGTATATTGTTTCCTGGCTTAAAGATAATTCCATCTGGCCCTTGGAACTCTCTTTTCTTTTGTGACTTACAACTAAAAAACGAAGTTCCCCACTCTGGGAAAATGAAGCAAACAGCTAGGGTATGTTTTGCTGATAAGTTGAAACAAAGCATCAGCCATTTAGATGGAAGTGCTGGTAGCAAGCAGTCAGTCTCTAACCCTGACGTTCATTGCTCTGGAGCTGAGTCCTCCTCCCACGGGGGTTGGGGGTTGGGGGGGAGGTTTTCTGGAGGCTTTACATTCCTTTTCCTGGATAGACTCTTGCTTCCCACCTCCCTATGGTTTCTACATGACCATAAGCCATGGCCTTCAGTGCACTCAGCTAGGTTGCTCTCTCCCCACACAGCTGCTGAGAGAAGTCACCCTCCCCCACAGATGACTGTGGCTTCTCTGCTGACTAATTCCCAGGAAATCACCTCAAGGCCGGTCTGAAAATGCTGTGCTGCCCACTGCTCACTGGCAGACTCAGTTTCCTTTCCACTGACTCTTCTGCCCCTGTGTATTCTAATTGCTGTAATCCCTCAATGTCTGTTCTGTGCCTCTAGCTTGGCTGTAGGCTTTACGAGTACCTGAGTTCTGTAATGATGAGCTAAGCCGGCAGTGTCCACCCTCTTTGCTTTTCAGGGACCTAAGTCTGCGCCTTTCCCCTGCCACAAGTCTGTTTGCTGTAGTCATCTAGTGTGCTGGGCAGACAGCCAGGCAGGCTGCGTAACCGACAATGCAGAGGGCTGAGGGAGGCTGGGGCACTCTGCTACCACTACTAGGATATGTTCAGATGAGAGGGGACCTCATACTGTGACCTGACCCAGGACCCTCCCTGGAAGAGAATTCAGCCCAGCTGTGTTTGAGTGAGTGTGTGTATGCGTTTGCATGTGTGTGCTCATGTGCACTGTGGTGTAAAATGACTGTTATCTGGTTGTGTAACTCAGGGTAGGCTGGAGACTCACCAGAAGAATCCCTCCAGCCTACCCAAGACAGATTTTTCCCTTGTACCCTCTTCTGAGGGGTCAGAGAGAGGGTCCAGGTGGGTTGAAGGGGTTGCAATGGATAACCACTAAGGCCTCACTGCTGCCAGAGGAGTTGGGGGGGGGGAGAAGACGAGGTTGCCCCAAGGCCCTGGTATCTGGCTTTAGTTTTCTGTCTTCTTTGCTCAGGACGCCCCAGAAGGCCCAGGACCTGTGCCTGGCTTAGAGGACCATCTGTGGCTGGGTGATCCAGCTGCTGGTGTGATCATGGGCTTCCCTCTCTCAGCAGGGCAGACATCTTCTGCCCCAGAGACTGGGCAACTGGCTGTTTCTATGACGTATTTATTTTTACTTGTGTTTCATGTCACTTTTTTAAAAAAGCAAACAGAACAATTGTAAGTCAGTATAACTGCCTATCAGTTTTCTTTATTTCTCTTTTTGTAAAATAAAATTTAAACTCAAGACATTGTTGTTTGATCAAGAAGTCGGACAGCAGTTGGCTGGGTGGTAATGAAAAGACTAATGGAACAATGGGCGCTCGGCGGCAGTAGGACAGGCTGCTAGCGGGTCCTGTTGACTTCCCGATTTTGCACACCCAAGAGCGTTGAATGCTGCATTTCCGGCTCTTGGCAGAACAATGAAGCTGCCTTGGAGTTGCTGAAGCTAGCTAGTCCTCACCTGTGGGACATCCTGCAGAGGCAGCCCTTTCTAGGCCAAGTGGCTGGGGACTGAACCAGCTTCAGTCCTTCAGGCGGTGGGGCTGGCAGTTATGGGAAGGAAGTATTGCATGAATATTCTCTGAGTTAGAGGGGCTCTAACAGGTTTTGGAATGGGAGGTGGGGAGGAAAGGAACAGTTCCATCTAACCCCATAAGTTTAATTACTTTAAGAAAAGGAGCCCTGAGGAGATATTCTTGAGCAATTTGCACAGAACTAAATAGCCTTAGTTGGTGATTCCTGGGAAAGAGAAAGGGCAAGTCTGGGCTTACAGTAAGGGAATATGAGCTATTGGGCGAGGACTGGGAGGTGAGCAGATCTCAGCTGTCAGGTGTAGAAAGAGCCTCGCATAGGAGTCTGGTGCCCCCTAGTGGCCACCTGGTAGTTGACATTATTAGAAACACTGGGAGATGAAGCCTGGTGGTATGATCCCTAGGTGCAGGCCAACTCTCCTACAGCACAGCGCTGAAACTCCCAAGGCACACCTGGGACGCCGATACTGGGTTCTGGAGCTCCCAACCAGGCTAAAGGAATTGAGCAGAGAGAACGAGATGATGAAAGGGTGTCTCCTGATAATGACTCCCTGACAGCCTAATCAATAAGAAACAGAATTAACCATGTGCCTGGAGGCAAAGGCTGTCTGTCCCTGAGCCTAGGCCATGCACCCTTCTTGCATCTCAAGGACCATATCGTGTATCGTGTATAGTCCATCTATCTGCCCGAAGCAGCCAATCACTACCATGTGTGATGTATACATCTATAATGGCCTTGCTGCTGGCCCTACCTACCCTGGAGACTTTTCAATAGCCCACTCTGCCAGACTGTTCAGCACTGGGACAGACTTCATGGATGAGGTCAAGATCACATGTTCCCCCATGGCTGTTGACTTTTTCCGAAGTCATCTTTGGGGTGATCATCTCTCCAAATAACAGCCTTGTCAGAAGCATCAGGATAGTCCTTGGACCAGCCTGTCCTGCAGCAAAGTTTACAAGCATAGTTACCTCCCTCACCTCCTCCATAAAATCTGGCATCGCAGCAGGGGTCCCTAGCACAGCTCTCTGATGTTTATAGGTCATCAGATGCTGCTCAAGATTGAACCTGTGCTGAAGGAGCTTGCACTTAGCTTGGGAGTTACCCATGTTATAGTAAACCAGCAGGACCTCCCAACAGCTACATCCAGGGCACGGAAGTAGAAGCTTGGGAGAAGGCTTTCTTTTCCCTGGAGTGAATGTCTGAAGGCTTTTGTTTGGTACTCTCATTGTTTCCAGCTCCTGGAACTGTCCTGATAGGAAGTGGCACTTAATAAATTCCGAATGGAAGAATAGTCACTTCTATGCTCATCGAAGAGCTGATGGGTAGGTGAGTGGAGACACTGACAATTGCACTGTCCAGAGGTGGTTCAGAGCTTGTTTAGACCAGGCGGGATTCAGCTTCCTTAGCTGTAGAACCTGACCAAGCGGCCCGACCCTGCTGGGTTCACAGGCCCTCAGTGAGAGAAGGTGGCAAGTGTAAGCGTGGCACAACTGCTAAAAGGCCAACATTGCTGTGGCTGATTCTCCCTAAAACGCACAAACACTATCCAGTCCCGTCCTGACTTCTGGGCTTCTAGGACAGGCAAACAGGCTAACTTTCCCAGTGCTAGGAGCTAGCGATTGCCTCTGCGCTTTCCCATCCCACCCGGTGGGCTACCGATTGTTGCTTTGTCACCTTCCGGAGTTCTGGTATGTTGGAAGCGGGAACGAGTGCTGTGGGAGCTGTCCCAGCCAGGTGAGGGGGGGGGGGGGCGTGCACGTTACCAAGGAGACGGGGCGGGGCAGGCCTCCAAGCCTGGAGCGCACGCGCCCACGGCCACGTCCCGCGGCGAGAGGGGCGGAGCGAGCGTGAGGGACAAGCGCGCGCCAGCTCCGCGACTGAGCCCTAGCCTCCCCCCGGCGCCGGTCCGCGTTCGCGGGGCCGCAGCTGAGGTGAGGGCGGGGCCGGAGGCGAGGCGTTCCCGTCGGGGTGTGGGCCCGGGTTCTCCTCATCCCCCTCCCGCCTGGGCCCCGCGGCCCGCGCCGCCCTCTGCACCGCGTCGGGCCCGCAGCCTGCCCGGCCTGGTTCTCGGGCCCGAAAGCGACCGTGAGGCGGTCCCGACCTCTCGGTGCGGCCGCTGCCTCGGCCTTGGGTGCGGGCACGCCCCGGGTCAGTGGGACTGGGGGGACCGGGGCGGGGCTCACCTTTCAGCTCCGCTTCCTGGGGCCGCGCGCCTCGTCGCGACGACAAACTTTAGCGTCTCAGAAGTTGCAGAGGTGCGTGAGGCCTTAAGGCGAGCGGAGGCTGGAAGCCGAGGGCGCGAAGCGGCGCCCTCCCTGGCTCCGAGCGCCCAAGTTGGCTGGCGCAGGTCCCTTTAAGGGCCGGGCCCTCCGCAGAGCGCACGTGAGCGGCCTCAGGAAGCCCTGCGTCGAGCCCCAGCTCCGACGCTTTCGGGCCGAGGAAGGAAGGCGTCTGCCCTGGACCTCTGACGTTAGTGGAAACTGAGGCCCAAGACAGGGCACACACTGCCCAAGGTCAGCAGCAGGGACTGCGTTGACGCCAAGTGTGGTAGACGGGCCGAGTGAGGATCCCAGACGTGACGCTGTGAGGCTGGCTTTGGCCTGATTTCCCCTCCGGGTCTTAGGGTGGGGTCGGCTCGCTTGTAGACACTCCTGTCCTGTGGGCTTTCACTGGACAGGGACTGCTCAGGGCCTGGTGACCTGATTTGCTCACTGCCTGTGTCTAAGGCTGTTGACTGTTCCTTTCTGTCCTGTCTCCACCCCCGCCCCCCCCCCCCCCAGGGCCGGAGTCCTGGAGCCCTGCTGTACTGGATGCTATGAGTTGCTAAAAGTGAGCCTGGCTTTTTAGGTGAGCCTCCTCATCCCCTGTTCTTGTCTTCTCTGCTGGGTGTGGGGAAATTTGCCTTGCTTCTCCTTCCTAGGCTATGGGAGTGGGCAGAAACATGCCCCCTCTTTTCCGAGCAGTTTGAGCAGTGGAAAGAAGATCGGGGTTGGGAGTTAAGTTCGTTTACAACACAAGTGTGTGGCAGTGCTTGTCACTCCCAGGACAGGCTGTGGCCTAGGTGCTCAGAGCTTCTAGCCTTGAGTTCAGCAAGGTCCAGCATGGATGGAATACCTTTCTGGAAGCCAGAGGAGAGAAAAACCGGCAGTGGACTGGAATCGGACCATTTGGGTTCCTGTTGCCTGTGTTTGGGTCCAGGTGGCTCTGTGCAATACCCGTGTGACCTTGGACATGCATCCTGACCTCCAGCCACTTGTTTCCTGGTGGGCGCCTACCTTATTGACTTCTTCTGAGGGTCAGTGAAGCGGCCGGGTCTCAACATTCAGATAGCGCCCAGCACAAAGCGTCACTATCAGAAAAGAAGAATGCAGCTAACTGGAGGCAGGGATGAGCAGGGCAGAGAATGCAAACAGAGAAGATAAGGGAGCTTACAGGCAGGCGTACAAGATGCTCGAGGAGGCCAGTGGGAGGCACCTCACTGTCCTGACACCAGAGTTCAGAAATATTCTTGGCTTCTTTGTAAGGCTGCTTCTGCCTGCTGGCTGACTCCAGAAACAGATTTTTAGCATATCTTACACTCACAACTTTCAGGGAACAAGTCATGGAACTAAGTTTTCTATAGGGATAAAGTATCACTTTTTCAGCTCTGAAACCTTTTACTTTTTAAATAGGAATTTTTAAAAAAATTTAATTTCTTATGTGTGTGGATGTTTGGCTGCATATTTGTATCTGTGTATCACTTGGATGCCTGGTGCCCGTGGAGACTAGATGAAGGTGTTGGATCCTCTGGGACTGGGGTTACAGATAGTTGTTAACCTTCCGTGTGTGCTAGGAATTGAACCCGAGTCCTCCGGAAGAGCAGCCAGTGTTGTTAACTGCTGAGCCATCTCTCCAGCCCTTAAAAGAAGAAGAAGAAGAAGAAGAAGAAGAAGAAAACAAACACCATGTGGGTGGTGTGCAGGATAACTTAGGGAGTTGGTTCTCGCCTTTCACCATGTGGGTTCTGGGGATTGAACTCTGGCTGTCAGGCTTGGCAGCAAGTGCCTTTCCCCACTGAGCCCTCTCACTGACCCTTAAATAATATGAATTTTAAATAACTAGAGTAGGACTGTTTCCCTAGTAAAGTTCATGTTTCTCTTTCTTTTTAACTGTCGTTCTTTGTGCTGTGATCCCTGGACTACTCAAATGAAGCCCTGTGTAAGAGTCTGCTTAGAACATTCCACACAGGCTTCTGTGTTGATGCTGGGTTTATTCCTGTAGACCTCTGCTATCTATTAGGAGTAACTCCTTCTTTTCCCTCTTTTGTGTTTCCACTTCTAACAGCCTTTTCTTACTTGTTTCTAATCTTTGTGGGCTGGCAAGAGTGTAGTGAAGCTGATTAGCATTTGATGGTTCATGTCTTGGAAACCCATGTTGGACTTTGTTCTGACCTCTCAGGCTGTTTTGATCTAGTTTCCTCTAGTTCTAGAGTTCTAGTTCTGCCTGGAATTCAGCTCCCCACAGACCAGATGAGCCACTAACAAACAAAAAAGGGTTTTCCATGAAATTTTCTTCTTGTGGCCCATTTTCTCCATGGGTTTTGTTCCTTATGCTATACTGTTTGTTAATGAGTTTTTGAACCCCATACCTGTCAGGTGTGTGTCCCGTGTGTCCATACCTCCCCCGCACCCTGCAGTAGTGAATGATACTTGAGGGTCCTGGGGTGGCAGTGTGGTCCATCTGCAGGAAGGAAGAGGCAGAGCAGGGAGAGGGATAGCTCCTGGTGATATCTAACCTAGCTTGGGGGAAATCTCTCTGGCCAGGGCCTGGTGGATGACTCAGTTTCCTCAGGTATGAGCAGGGCTGCTAGTGCCAGGTAGAGCTGTTTCGGTAGCGTCAATAGCTATGATTAGGAAATAAAGAGGCTTGTGGCTTCAGTCATCTGTGGCTCCCTTCTAGGTCACTGTGTGTAAATACCTGTGGTCCCTCCCCCTCCTAGGTCAGAGCACTAAGGCATGGCTGAGGTTGGGCCAGAACCAGCAGGCCGGCAGGGTTAGAGCAGGCTACCAGCCTCCTGTCCCTTCTGTCTCCTTTACAGCTGCCTTGGGTGCTGAGAGGGAGTCCCAGAACCATGCCGGATCTCCTACTACTGGGCCTGATTGGGGGCCTGACTCTGCTGTTGCTGCTGACGCTGCTGGCCTTTGCTGGGTATTCAGGACTGCTGACTGGGGTGACAGTGAGTGCTGGATCACCCCCAATCCGTAACATCACTGTGGCCTACAAGTTCCATGTGGGGTCCTATGGTGACACTGGACAGCTTTTCACGGAGAGCTGCAGCATCTCTCCCAAGCTACGTTCCATCGCTGTCTACTATGACAACCCCCACACGGTAAGGAGCCTCAGTGGGCTTCTACCTCTTGGATGAACCTGGGCCAGGTCATGATGGGGTAGAATTTGGGTTTCTGAGTAAAGGACAAGGAAATCTTAGCTGGTCCTGCGGTTACCTTCTCTCTCTAAGCTTAAAGCCCTTCCAGTTTACCCTGGACATTGTTGCATCCTGAAGCTTTGCATTTGCCCACATCTGTGTCCCTTTGCCCATGTCTGCTCAAGGATTTCTGAGTGTAGTAGACCCTAGCTTCTGTCTGGACCTTGACTCTCTGTCTCTTGCTGTTCTTTTTTCTATCTCCATTTGAGGCCAGTACTCTTAGGCCATCTGCCAATTCTCTAGGGTTAAATCTCGTTTGTCTGCTTTCCATGCCTCAGCTCTCATGCCGGGTCTGTTGGCTCTCGAGGACCAAGAGGTCAGCTTCTGGGCATGGGGCTCAGAATCTTACCTTTCTAGTCACCATGGTGCTTTCCCACCCAGGGATAAGTCTTTTCCATACCCCTCAAGCTACCTATTGGGAGAGGGCCAAGTGGAGTCAAATGCCCAAGATGCTAGGGTCTAAGACTAATCTAGCATCACTGGTACCCTGTAGGCGTCTGGCTGTACTAAACCTACCGTGAGTCAGGGCTTGCCAATGTAGTTTCCTGCTGTGCTATGGGGTGGTGCTGCCCACAGCTAAATGGGCTGCCAGCTCTGCCAGGGACTCTAGCCTCCATTTTTGAGCCATACTAAACTAAGCCCTGGGGAGTTTTTGTTTGGACTGTTTAGCCTGGATTTCATTGCCTGGAAAGCTCAAGTGAACAAGCCCTGTACACTGCCTAAAGACAAAAGCCTCATTGGGACACTTGGTGAAACAAGGGTGTGCTGATTTCCTGTCTGCCAGGTTCTGCTCTACACCTGCACTCTGGATGTGAATTAGACTTGGCATTGTCCTCAGTAAACTGTAGTTAGCTTGTCAGCCCCATATAGATGATTTTCCAACAAGACACTAAACTCAATGTCTTTAGAAGTTTGAGTTGGAGGATGTAGAAAGAGTATCTCAAGCATGTGAGGAAGATTCAGAAAAGAGATAGAAGGTCCTTCTCACATATGTAGAATTTGTCTCTGCCATGCAGGGCTACTTGACTTAGGAAACTATAACAAAGACTTGCTGTCATGGGATGAATAGGAAGTGTGGCCTCTTGGACATGTGGTTGGTAGAGAAAGGGGATGAGAAGGTTCCCTGTGCTAATGGAGGTTGCAAAGATGGGTGTGACATCATTTACCATCTTTGTTTTAGGAAGCTGACTGGGGGACAAGTGGGGGAGGGAAGAAGATGACTCATAGAAGCCATTGAAAAGATTGGGCTGGGTTGGGTGAGAGGTGGCACAGGCTAGTTGAGGGATGAGTAAGCATTGTCTGAGGTTTTGTAGTCATGTGATTGGGGGCGGCAGTACCTGAAGTCAAAAGCACTGAAGACCAAGTACAGCAGAAGCACATAACCCTCTTAGGTTAAAGGTGCTCATTCCAGGATCAAAACCGGTCAAGGTGACAGGGGTCATTACTTAGAAGCACAACCAAGGAAAAATGAGAAGAGCTCTAGGAAAATGTACTTTTCTACTGGCATGTCTGCTTCTTCCAGTCAGCCACCATGTGGCCCTCTTCAGGGTTAGAGTGTGCCCTGGGACTCAGTGTTGACTGAGCATAGTCTGCCTTGGATGCTGGTGCAGGGGAGTCATGTCCTGAGAGTACAGCCTGAGAGCTGGCAATCTGGGTTCTGATCGTATCTGACTACTTTTATGATGTGCGTTCTTAGGCATATCACAACTTTTCTGAACTAATGTTTTCTCCTCTGTAACATCCTGATAAAATGGCTTGCTTCATAGATAGGCTGACAAGGACTCACTTAAGTGATGTGAGTGAGGCATTCACTCCAGCACATGGTTCTCAACAGATATTTAACAGAAAAGGGTGTGAAACACTCATGAACATGAGCTAAGAGATGAGGCTGACCTGGCCAGCCAAGAAGATAAATGAAAAGATTAAAGTGACCATTTTGATTCTGCACTCCCCTAACTTGGAAACTTGGGTCACTCCGGAAGATACTTATAAAAGCAAGATTATATCCTGGCATGCACTTGGGGTAGCACAGGGACACTTGGGGCTCTCTATATGCTCCTGAGCTAGACATTGTCTGTCCAGTGGTGATTGTAAAAGGTCTAGGGAATCTTAAACTCCCAGGATTCAAGGGTTTGCAGCCATCTGTCAAACCACCTGGTCTACATTCTGGTACTGTAATAGATACAATAGGTGTACCGTGGTATGGTGGGGGAAGAGATTGGGATGACGATAGCCTGAATGAGGTACTAGTTGTCTTAGTCAGTACATAGTCGCATCTTGGCTATGTACCAGGCCTGTGCTTGACACTGGGGCACCATGGAGACCATGAGGTATAGTTTGCTGAACACTTAAGATTCAGAATCACTTGGGGCAAGGGTTCAGGAACCTGGAGATGCTGGAGAAGAGACCCTGTTTTGTTCCTTAGGCTGAGAATCCTTGTTCGCCATTTCCTAGCTGCCGCTGCTCTCGGTGTCTGTCACGGATATGTATATAGGTAAAGAGGATATAGGCCAACCTCTTGGGTGTAGCACCTCCAATCTCCCAACACAGCACAGCAGGAGTCAGATGGGCTTCTCTGGGATTGTGGTAGGAAGTGATGTTCTTTGAGGCTCTGAGTAAAGCAGTGAGTAGCCAGGTTAGAGATTTGCTTGACTTTAGATGTTGGTCACCCTGCCGAGGTATGAACCAAAGATTCCCTAGACATGACCATTCCTAGCCCAAGCTGTCTTAGAGGGAAGAATATTCCTGAGAAAGGTATAGGGAAGCTCCACTTTTTTAGTATGGGTCTGGAAAATGGCAGAAAAGACACTCCAAGGCAGGACAGTAGTAGTTGTTATAAATTCTTTCATATCACTTGCTACCCGAGGCCTAGAGTCTTGGATGGGAGGAAACTATGAGGTCTGAATAGATGGTTTCTGTGAGGCAGAAGGAAGGATTCCATTCCCTGACCCAGAAAGCCTTGAATATAGTTAGGGTTAAAGGAGTGCAGGGAGGCAACATGTGTCAGAAAGTGGACAAGACTTGATACGGATCACAGGTGTTGTTCTCTCATCAATGGCTGACATTCATGGAGTACAGGCCATTTCCTCTTTAAGGTACTTGGTGAATAGGACTGAGTTCCAGAGGTCACAGTCACAGACCTGCCCTGTTTCCCATATCTACTGGTTCACACGGCCTCTTGCTAGAGAAGGGTCCTGGCTGAGAAAAACTGTTCCACTTTCAATCCTCTTTCTAAGTTGGGTATGGGAGAGTTGAAAATTGACCTTAGTCTCCTCTACGAGTAGTAAAAATCCCCTGGGGAGCCAGGCGGTGGGGGTGCAGGCCTTTGATCCCAGCACTCAGGAGGCAAAGGCAGGTAGATCTCTGTGAGTTCAAGGCCAGCCTAGTCTGCAGAGTGAGTTCCAGGACATCCAGGGCTGTTACAGAGAGAAACTATGTTTCAAAACTATGTGCTGGCTTGCACATAGGCCCTTCTGGTTAGGTGCTGTCACCATTCCTGTAGGTCTGCCCTATCTGCCACCTCTCACACCTTCCATATTTCTTCCTCTGCTGTTTGGGTCTTATGCAACCTGCCAGTCTACCATTGTGGTAGCCTAGGTGAGGCAAGAGGGTGTGGTGGTTAGTTGTATTTACCTGGCCTAGGCAGATGGGATCCTCTCTTCACATCCACCACCAAATCCATGCTTTTTCCAGGCATGGACTAATGGAGGATCTGGTGGCATTCTGGACTTAAAGAATCCTCTCTCCATTAGTCCACGGAGAACCACCAAGTCTGCAGAGCCTGAGAGTTTTTAGAGTTCTGACTTGGGTCTGTACCACCCTCCTCACTGCTCATTGGGTTTTGGGGCTACCTTAAGACATGTAGGTCAGACAGAGCCTACGAAGGGATAAGGAGATAAAGTTTCCCATGGCTGACATCTTCAACAGGGCGGTGGAAATATGGGCCGAGCTGCTGTTTCCTGAGGACCCAGGGTGTCTCTGCTCCGATTAACCTGTGGATGTTTTCTGCAGATGAAACCAGACTATTGCTCTCTAATAAATTAAGCGTGGAAGAGGTCTCTCAAGGTGAGCGCCTCACTGCCCTTGGGAAGTAAAGTGAGAGGAGAGGACTCTGGGTTCACCCTTCTAGATCTGAATTAAGGCTCTGACTGCTTCCTAGCATGTGATTCTGTGAGTCACTTGGTCTCCAGTGAGTCTGTCTCGTCTATCAAATGGGGTGAAAGAGTCCCTCCTGCCTCATGTTGAACCCAGGGCCTCGTTCATGCTAAATGCATCTTCCCACATGTCAAGTTTTAGTTTTGTGGCATCAAGGTGATGAGGCAAAGGCCCAAAGCCTGGTTCCTTTTTTGTTGTTGTTGTTGTTTTCGAGACAGGGTTTCTCTGTATTGTTTTGAAGTCTGTCCTGGAACTCGCTTGGTAGACCAGGCTTGGTCTCGAATTCACAGAGATCCACCTGCCTCTGCCTCCCGAGTGATGGGATTAAAGGCATGCATCACCATCGCCCGGCCCAAAGCCTGGTTCCTAATAGTACATAGCACATTTGACACCAGCCCTGGCAGTGAGAGCCTTGTACCATGGGGCTTTTATGCCTTCAGGAATGCCTGCTCCAGGTGTGCTGAGTCTGGGGAGACACAGTGCAGGGGAAGTCTATTCTTCTTAGCTAGGGCTGAGTTCTCAAATTCCCAGGTGAGTGTGGGTAGTATGTTGCAATTCCTGAGCGTGTCTGCTTAGGTTTGAACCCTGACCCCAACACTGCCTTGCTGTGTGACATTTACTGAGTAACTTGGTATCCTGGGCCTCAGGAGCAAGGTTGAGAACAGTACCAACTGACTATACAAAGCTGTTTGAATCTGATGAGCTTAGGTGTGGAAAGCAGCAAGTGGTGAGGCCTTGTCAGGTGCCCACTATCAGTAGGGTATGCGTCTGGGAGTAGAAGAGAAGGTTCCTAAGGAACTCTCAGAAGAGTTAAAAAAGAGTTGACATCCCAATGACTACTTCCTTCTGAGCCCCCTAAAGTATGAGTCTTGTCCTCTGGCCTAGTTGGTGGTATCAGCCTATATTCCAGCTGGTGGCTACCCCATGTTCCTTCACGTAGCAGATAAGTTGAACACATATCTTGGTATGTTGACTATATACCAGGTCTGGGTAATGGAGGCCCAGTACACATCTGTAATTGGCAGATACCACTCCTTTTTAACCCTGGGAATACCAGGACTCTGTCTCTATGTCTCCCCTTGCCTTGGTAACTCTGATTGAGAGCTGTCAAGAGAGGGATCATGGCAGCTCTCTGGGCTTAGACTGGCAGATGATATACCTATCCCTGTTGGCTGAATGGATTGTGGACTGAGGTTGACCATTTCCACTAAACCCAGTGTGCCAGCTGACATAATTTCTCTTTTCTGAATCCTTAAAGATACCAGTCCTGTCATATCCCTACATTTTGGAGGTCTTAGCCAGGCAGTACCCTTGAAATGACTCTTCACTGTGGCCTAATGGTTGTCAGAGACCTCTCTGCTAGGGGCAGTGGGCTAGCTTCAGGATGGACTCATACCTGAAATCTTTAGGTTCCAAGCAACTCCTTCTTATAGTACTGGGACTGAGGAGGCTGCATACCTTGAAAATGTGCTGAAGCCTGGCATGCCCCTTGGTAGTCCCCACCCTTGTTTTTCTTTCTATTTTTGCTTTTTGAGATAGGGTTTCTCTGTGTAACGGCCCTGGCTATCCTTCATTTGTAGACCAGGCTGGCCTCGAACTCCCAGAGATCTGCCTGCCTCTGCCTCCCAAGTGCTAGGATTAAAGGTGTGCACCACCATCACCTGGCCTCTTGCTTTCTCTCTCTCTTTCTCTCCGTCCCTCCCTCTTTCCCTCCCTCCCTTTCTTTTCTTTCTTCCAAGACAGGGTTTCTCTGTGTAATAGCCCTAGCTGTCCTATAACTCAGTTTGTACACCAGGCTGGCCTTGAACACAGGGATCCATCTGCCTCTGCTGAGATTAAAGGCATGCACCATCACTGCCTGGTATGATAATCTTGGTTTTGATGGTAGATCCTGGGTGGACTTTCCTTTCTTCAAAGCGGTGTTGGTTCTGCCTTTGTCCTGTCTCCCTAGTATGGTTCTAGGCTGGTGCAGTTCTGGTCATAGATACTCCAAACAGATTTGATATGAGGAGAAGTAGTAGACAATAGGAGACCCAGGCTTTTGTCTTGGGCTAGGTCACTGCTATTGGACCAACTTTACCACTTCCTAGATTGTCTTTGTAACTGTCCTGTCTCTTTGCTGGTGACCTGGTTCTGCTGCAGGTGGTAGGATTACCGTGGCACCTCTTCTAAGCACTGGCTAGGATAGGGAAGGGACAGATAATGACTTATAGAGTTGGTAGACATAGAGACAAACCAAGTCAGAGAGAACTCTTGTGTTCCACACTACTTTGTATTACATTGGAGAGGAGCACTTCCCTTTTGCCAGATCATTTGATTGTGGTGTAGGGTTTATGTGAGAAGCTGTGCACGTGCTGGCACCATTGTTAGACATATCCAAGGAATTTCTGTATAGGATCCTACACTTTCCAGCCTTGAGGCTGGAGTGGTGGGAAAAAGCAAGAAGGCTTCATTACAGTGCAGTAGAAGGCCAGTTCATTTGTATTTATTTGGGATCAAAGAGGAAGGGCAGCTTCCAGGAGAATAGCAAAAGGCTTTGAGGAAAGGAGTTGAGGTGAGTCTTGCAGGATGAACTGGAGTTTCCCAGAAAGAAGACTCAGATAGGTTGAAGAAGAACATTTTAGGCAGAGGAAGGAAGGAGCTTACGCAAGGGAGGCAGCCTGGGAAGACGTGGCATGCTTGGCTACAAATAGCTACATGGGGGCGTATATGGGGGTGTGGTAGGAGAGGAGGCTGGCAAGGCGGGCTGGGCCAGACCCGGGTTCTGCCCCTCCCTCTGCCACGTACCCAGTGGCTGCCTGCCCAGGTTCTGGCCCTGCTGATTCCTGATTCTGAGTTGAGTTCAGTGTCACATCTGACCTTTTTGGCTTGGAAGTTTAGTTTTGCCGTAGATATGAGCTGAGAGTCATTGAGGGGTTCTAATCATGTGTTCAAGTATCTTGGAGTCAAAGAGTGTTTTATTGGTAGTTCCATGGGGGCTGCTGAAGTGAACTCAGGAAAGACCTTGGAACTCAAATTAAGGCAGGCAAAGGAGAAAGAGGAGCTGTCAACTGACAACTGACCTTGCACCCATTTCTTCCTCTAACTTACGTTAATATTTTGTTCTCTTTTCTCTACTCCCCTCCCACCTAGCATAGCTTGCATTGGGGCTGGGTACCTTCCCTGTCCCTTGGCCTGTCAGTCCAGGCCTGTGAGAGCCTCCTGCCTATATAGCCATTGCAACTCTTAGGGTGTAAGTGGTACAGGTCCACCATCTAGAGACAAGATATGGTACTGCAGCACTGTTTGAATGGAATGAGAGGAGCTTAAGGCTAAATAGTCTTGAGAGGGCTAAGAACAGCAAATTTTGGAAGAAGTTTGGGGAGAGGAAAAATGTTACAAGGCTACTCTGAAATGTTCACCAAGAGGGCAGTAAACCTGAAGGATGGGTGGGGAAGGACTATATTCAAAGGTTAGGTGAGATGGTCATTCTAGACCAAGGGCCTGTTATTGGGACAGTGTTATTGTTATGACTTATCAAAAATAGTTATGGGGCACTTCATTAGTGCCAAGCCTTTGTGAATTATCTCTTTTATGTGAAAGGCCTAAAAGGAAATATCAAGGAATTGGTGCTCTGTGGCTAGGATCACGTGACTCAGGTTTTACTCCCTGGCCAGTCTCCCATAGCATGGTTATGAACATTGCATTATATTGCCGGTGACTAAAACTCTTAAGTTATACTTGCTGCCATTGGGTTCAAGGAAGCAACAAGATGAGAACCTTGGGAACTGGCTAACCCGCTAGGGTCTGCTCAGAGGTCAGGGCCTGGAACAGAAAAGTGTGATTCTAGGTTGCCAGAGTAGAGGAAGTGAGTCGGGGCTAAGAAAACCCCTAGGGAATGCTGACAGGTGTTGAAAGAGCCATAACAGGGTGGTAGGCATGGTAGAAGCAGATGTATAATAGTAACTTCATGGTGCTGAGAAAGTGGGCTGGGAAGGTAGGGTAGTATCCTGCTTAGTAGAGGAGAGAGGTCAGCAGGCTCTGGTAGGGAAAGAATTGAACGGTACCTTAAAAAAAAATCCCAGACTTGAGGCACTATATCTGTGGTAAATGTCCAGGATTTAGGAACGCCTTCCCCTGGGGGCCTAGTCCAAGGGCTGGTATATAGATGGCAGGAAAATAGACTTGGGAATTAGAAGGTTGGGCAGACTAGTGCCACCTGCTGCCAGAAGGAGCACTGGCCCTGTAGGCCTTGGGTCAGCCGACATGGTGTTGGAAACTCAAAACTGCTGCTGGCTGATGGGAGCCCAAGGAGAGAGGAGTAGAGTAAAAAGTACATTTGTTAGAGACTGGGAGACATGGGGAACCACCAGTATGGAGTATAACCAAGAAGGGATTTGGAAAGTAGGTTTTAGGTGGAAAAGACGTAGAGGTTGTTGTGATGGTGGCTGTCCCTACCTGTGTACCTAGAGGAGATTCCTCTTAAATTTTTATCTTGAATCCTGACCCTCTACACATCCTAATTCTAAACCCTACCCTGGCCTCTGTCCTGTGTGTTCCGCTGTGTACACTTACACACACTTGTTTTCATGGAGCAACTAGGAAAGAAAGCTGTTGTAGGCTTTTTTCTTTATTTTTCACTCCTCAGTTCTGCTGCCTTGCTCACTGTGATTTCTCTGTTGGTGAAACTTGCTCCTCTGGGATATAGGAGGGAAATAAACTAATTGGACCCTAGGAAGGACTATCTGCAGTCCTGCTGGAGGCCTCTGAGACTGGGACCCATGAAAGGTAACATCAGGGGATGGGAAGTCCCTTGGCAGTGGCGTGCAGGCTGTGTAGAGGGTGAGAGCTCAAATACCTCTTTGTTCTTTCATCCCCACGGCTCCTGGAGAGTAGAGACTGAATTTTTTTCTTTTTTCTTTTTCCTCACCATGATTCCTGAGTCGTGTGCAGCTTAGCATGTTTGCTGAGGGAATGGATGAGAGTCATCCAACAGGTTTTGGTACAGAAATGGTTAGCTCCATCCTGGTATCTAGAGCTCTGTAGCTTGTCAGAGCAGGTGGTTCCTCCAGTTAGCTCAGAAGTGGAGGGCCTTAGGTCTGAAGATCCCCTTCCTTTGTATGGTAATAACTCCATGCTCTGCCTCCACAGGTGCCTCCTGAGAAGTGCCGGTGTGCTGTAGGCAGCATCCTGAGTGAGGGAGAGGAGTCACCCTCGCCTGAGCTCATCCACCTCTATCAGAAATTTGGCTTCAAGGTCTTCTCCTTTCCAGCACCCAGCCATGTGGTAACAGCCACCTTCCCCTACACCACCCCCATATCCATCTGGCTGGCTGTCCGCCGAGTCCATCCTGCTTTGGATACCTATATCAAGGTGAGACATAGGTATAGTACATGGGAGGTAGACACTCAGATCCCTTGGGTGGGAGCTGAGAGGACTTCCCAGGATGTGAGGGATAAGTAGTTTGGAGAGAGTAGCTCTCTGAGACCTCATGGACCAGGTACCTATGTTGCCAGGGAATATTGTCAGAGACTCCTGGCATCTCTTTCAGATGTTTAAGGTCTTGGGGTCAGACTATGTCCAAGAGCTTGTTCAGAAGCCTGACCTGGTGTGGTCAGATTGGCTCTGTCTGTGTCCTTACCCTGTCCCTATCTTGCTTGTAGCCTAACAAGCTCTCAGTGGCCATGTGCCACCCTGGCCTCGGTGCTACATTTGCCCCCACCCCCATCTCCCCAAGGACTTGACCAGCAGTGCCAGGTTCTGCTTCCTTTATTTCTGACCTAGAAGGAAGTGATGCTGGCAGCACAACCTGTCTGGAGGAGGAGGAGAGTCAGCCACCAAGAGATCGACAGGGATCTCTGTCTACAGAAGTCTTAGAAACTTGACCTGTCTAAGGTCTTTGGATGTGTTATAGGCTTGAGAGCTAAGGAAGGGACCACAGTTTGGGTTGGAAGTGATGGTTTATTCATTTGTTGGCTTGTGTTTATAGAGTGTACACTGAGTACTCTTCAGGACACAGTGTGGAAGATTTGGGCATGAAAGAGGCATATACAATGAGGTGATGAAGAAAGGCAGTAAATATGGGATACATGGTAGGAAATAGGATGGGTCAGGGGACCCACTTGAATAGGGTGGTTAGAGGTAGCAGGTCACTTCAAGGTGGAGCCCTGTTGCAGAGAAGGTAAGGGTTTTTGTTTTTGTTTTTTAAGCAGAGCAGGGTAAAGAACAACAATGGGCTTGTTTGGAGATTTTTGTTGGTTTTTTTTTTTTTTTTTTTTTTTTGCCCCTGAGGCAGGGAATCATATAGCTAGGCTGGTTTCAAACTTGCCGTGTCGCTGAGGATAACCTTGAACTCCTGGTTCTCCTATGACAGCCATACTCTACCGTTCCTGGCAAGGAACATAGGTTTGATCTAAATGTAGTAGGGGTATGATGGCACGCTCTTGTAATTCCAGCATCTTTTTTTTTTCTTGGTTTTTACGAGACAGGGTTTCTCTGTATTGTTTTGGAGGCTGTCGGTCCAGCCCGGCCTCGAACTCACAGAGATCCGCCTGCCTCTGCCTCCCGAGTGCTGGGATTAAAGGTGTGCGCCACCACCTCCCGGCAATTCCAGCATCTTGAGTCCAGCCTAGGTTACATGAAGAGATCTTGTCTCAAAGAATTGTAAATACTTTTCTCCTGTGTCTCTGTGTATATAAGTGGTAGCTTGAAGGCATGTATGGGGTCCCAGATTCAATCCAGTTTCAAAAACCAAACAAACAACAAACCAAAAAAAACAGAACAAGCTTAACAACCAATGCAGTGTTCACTTGGAGCCATCTCTTGAAATTGGTCTACCCCATTTCTGATTTGGGTTAAGCGGTGGGGAATGCACTCAGGAGGCAGTCAGGGTCTGAATGGGGATGTCCACAGGGTAGGCTGCCTGCTCCTTCCTACAGACGGTTTGGGTTGCCAGCATTACTTTCTTCCAGGCTGTAAGTCACCAGACCAGTGACTGTGGTAGTGCAGAACCAGCACAGAGGTTCTATTTTGTGGTAGAAACTTTTGTACTAAGGTTGGGTTGGCTGTTAGAAGGGTGCTGTGGGGGTGTCACAGAAGCTGTGTCCTTTTTTAAGGTAGTTGAAAGCATAGTGTTGCTTTCCACTGGCCTGTGGGAATCTAAAAGAGGCACCTGGTTTGGGGTAAAACCGGTCTGTGAGCTAACAGTGGGACTGCTTGATGTCTGTATGGACTGTAGGGATGGCCAGGTGGCAGTGATGTCTGCCATGGTGGTAGGTCAGAGGCTAAGGAAGACAAGAACAAGTTGCCTTTGTGAGCTGGGATGGTGCCTGGAACACGGCTGGAGAGGTTGTGCTTTCCTGGGGCCGGGGAGGGGGCTGGGAAAGTGAACTGGAGTGAAGTCAGACACCAGTGTCCTAGGCCTGCTCTGTACGGCACCTTAAGGGGGTTGTCATTCATTCCACCCAAGGAGGAGGGCTGGTGTTTTCCATCTTGTTTTGTCTATGTCATCTTCAGTTTTGATGGCTAATCTGGAGGAGCATCCTCAGGAAGATACTTCCTAGGCTCCAGACCTCAGAACAGGGTGTGTGGCATGTGGTATGGTGGCAAGCGACTCAGCCACCAAAGCTTTTCCTTGGCTCCAGGGGTTTATTTTTAGATACCTTTGTCCAAATTTCCCGGCCCCTGACTGCTTCACAAGTTGGCTGGTTTTGACGTCATCTCTTTGATGAAAGCCCTTCCTCTCCTGTGGGAGCCTGTCAACTCTGCTTTGGGCTGTTTTCCTGGGGTGGTGGCAGGGACAAAAAGTCAGGGGTTTGGGGAATGGCGAGGGCCATTCCTGTCCTGTGTTTACCTTGGACCTAGGAAACTAAGTTGAGGGAGATATGAGGAAAAAACTCGTTGGTCATAACTGACAGTCTACAGAAGGTGGCCCTGTGCCTCTCAGCACAAGGGACAGAACAGAGTCAGCCTGCCTCACACCCCTGCTTTCTTCCCATTGCCCTGTGTCGCTGAGGTTACCAGTGAGATGCCAGCACTTGTGACAGTCCCAGCCCAACAACTGTCTGCTGTTGACTTTGTACATACACACATAACTCTCTCCCTCCTCCCCTCCTTTGCCCTCCCCTCCCCTCCCTCTCCTCTCTCACTTTTCTCTGGATTTGGAATTGCTATGAGTATTATTCAGATGAAATGACAGTAGCCATCAGTATTCTTTCATGAGGGATGATCTTGCTGCCAGAATAAGGGGAGGATTGACCTGCTAGTCTCACTTTCTGCCCCAGAGGCTGAGGTGGGTGGGGTGAGGAGTCGGAGATGTATGGGAGATGGAAAGTAGCTGCTTTCCTGGCAATTGTAGATGTGCCTAACCGTGGGGTATTGGTCTCATGGGACAGCAAAGGACCTAAGGTCACTGCAAGAAGCCCCAGAGAAGTGTTTTTCAGGCCCCTCTGGTTTCTGGAAGGGATAGCTGTAACCCATCTTTGTGATTACATGGCAGCCTCTGGCTCTCTAGCCAGCTTTTCTCAGTTTGGCAACCTGCTGGACTGAGCTGTAATCATCCCCTCACCCCCATGAAGCTCTGGTTGTCCTGGAACTCACTCTGTAGACCAGGCTGGCTTCAAACTCTGAGATTCTCATACCTCTACCCGAGTGCTGAAATTAAAGGCATGTGTCATCACCTCCTGGCACTTGTTTTTTAAGACAGGGTTTCATTGGCTGACCTGGAACTCACTCTATAGATCAGGCTGGTCCCAAACTCACAGAGATCTGCCTGCCTCTGCCTCCCAAGTGTTGGGATTAAAGGTATGTGCCCCCACTGCCAGATGCTGGAATTTCTGCCTTCAAAAATACAACTAGGAACCTCCAGGCTGAACACTCTGGGACAGTATGTGTAAGGGCTACCTGGGTATTGTGTGACCATTTATGTATGTGGAAGATGCCCCAGCATGGCCATACTGTTTCAGTGAAGTACAAGGACAGGAAGAGACCACTCATTAAGTCCCAGACAGGAGGCTTCTTCTTGCGGCTACAGGAGGAAACTGAACTTACAACACTACAGAAGAGATATGAGTTTAGAGCAATGGGCAAAGACTACCCTGCCACTGAAATTCACCTCAAGTTAAAACAAGTCTTTTTAAGTGTCCAAGAAAGGCTTTGAGCACATGCAGCCTCCAGGACTGATTGGAGAAAATGGGGTTCTGTGTGTGGTATTGTGTATGGAAGGTCTCTAGCGTGGGCCATGGCTCATGACTGGGGGCATAAGTAGTTCATTGGGGTCATCGAGGGGATTAGACTGACCAAGCCACATGGCTGCCCCATGCTTCAGCAAGGTACAGAATCTTTTCCATAAACCCCTTCTCTAGGGTCTTATATCTAGGTGTTTCCAGGAGAAAGATCTTGTTAAAAAAAATGCTTAAGCAACTTCTCCCAAGTTTAGGGAAACTGGGTGCCAGTCACACAATGGTTGGTAGTATGGGCAGGCCCCAGAAATTAGACCTGGTTCTTGCACTAGGAGTTGTCAGAAAAGGTGGTTTCCTTTCAAGGAGACCATGAAGGCCCAAGTCCTGAGATAGCTGTATTGACTGAGGTTGATCTAACAGGGACTTAGAGTGGGAGGGAACCCAGACCATACTGTTGACACTGCTCTGGGATGGCAGCTAAAGGTGATGCTAAGGTGTACCTGGGATGGCAGCTGCCCCCCCCGTTTCAGCTGTAATAGCCATGTCTCAGGGTTCTTTACTCCAGTTGCTTTTGTCTTTTGTCTGAAAGAGGACCTCTCAGGCTCAAATGGTTTGCAAACTTATGCTCGTTGAGATGAGCCACTGAGAAGATTCCCCCTCCACTCTAATGCATGATTATTCTGGATTTGGAAGATACTGTATAGCAGCAGTGTAAGTAGGATGAAGGGGCACCAGGTCGATTTCCTAAGAGGCATTGTTTCTGAAAAAGCATCACTCTGATTAGAAACTGGAACTGAATGGAGGCTTGAGGAGCTTCAGGTTGGAGATCTGTCTGGAGTGGAGGTAACTGAACTCTTAAGTGGTGGGTGAGTTTGGCCAGCTAGGATCTAATAAGCAGGGCACAGCAAGGTGCTTGTGGAAGTGAGTCAGCCTGGTGAGCTGGATGAAGCTTGTAGCAGCCTGTTGAGAAACTTGCTCTGCCCACTAGGCTCTGAACCCTGTGTTTGTATCCTCTTAGCCTGCTTCATCAGTCATCTCTGAGGGAGCTAGCTGGTGAGACTGGGTCCAGAATACTAGTGGAGGTCTGTTAGGCCCTGCTGTGGGAATCTAGATGAGGAAGCCCCATGGGAAATTTGAGATCTGGTCATCTTGACTACCGTCTTGGCCTAGCTAACATGATAGGATTCCAAGTTT